GGTTTGGGATGCAAGTGAACAATGCCATGAGGCACAGTGTTATTTTAGGCTGAATTTGGTGCATGTCTGTGGGGCCTTGTGTAAAACGTTTCAATAATTTGCTTACAAGACCATTCTATTGAACCCTTCTTAGCCCAACAAAGGAGCAATGCTGTCATGGAAATAAAAAGGTTGGAAAATGTTTTTGTGAGCATTGTGAAGATGCTCACAAAAAGATGGAATAGTGACGTGGGACTTTAACATAATCGTACTAATCATTGCATTTGCTTCAGTGACTTTAGTGCACAAGATTTTACAAGATTTTACTGTAAAATATAGTGACTGTGTGTGCTGTAGGGTAATACATCAGCCAAATTGTGCATAGTGACGTCCCCACAAACAACCGTGAAACGAATGAACAATTTTATTTGGGGGATTTGTTGGCCAGAATGCCGGGAGAAACTGTTTTCTCTTTTTGAATAGTGCAAAAGCATCTTCAAAAAATCATCTGAATAGACATAAGGAACATCAGCTTAACTCTGTGTTGGTGTTAATGAATCCTTTTCACCCGGGCCAGTTAATAGCAGTGCTACTGTTGCCCTTGGCATTTCCCTCACTCACCTACCCACCATTGATGGCTGAACTATCAGTCACTATCCCCCACTGTTAAGAACATAAGAACATAAGAAACAGGAGCAGGAGTAGGCCATTCGGTCACTCGAGCCTGCCCCGCCATTAAAAAGATCATGGCTGATCTTCTAACCTAATTCCATCCACTATTGGTAAATCCTTTCCAAAATTACTCCATCAAAATCAAATGCATTATTATTATTATTATTATTATCTTGCTCACTCACTCTGCTCTCAATACTGCTGAATTCTGTCCATTGACAATGTGGCTTATGTCACATGAGGGGACAATGTCATTCCTAAATCCACCCTCCACCACCAGAGGGTGACAGTTGAGAGTTGATTCAACATCTATGTTACACCCTTGATTGCCCATTTGTACAGGGTTCCCTCATGTGGAACTTTGTCAAAGACATTGTGCAAGATCTAATTAAACCGCATGATATGGCTTTCCACCGTAAGGTTAGGATTCACCACCTCATATGATGTTTGTCAGCCAAGAGTCTACCTGTCCCAAGGCTATTATTTATTAGGTACTTTAATGTAGGTACGTTGATTAATTTGATTACAATGACTGAGATCAAGTTCACTGTTATCACAAAGTCTAGCTCTGTCACTCTTCCTGACTTTGACTTTGAATATGAGAAACACATTGTCTTGCTTCCAATCTGTGAGACCCAGCCCAGCCTTCAATCACACCCTCAACACAACAAACCTCAGCCCTTCGAAACAAATCTCCTCCTTTGCCTAAGTACCCTTTAGTATAGTTCACCTGACTCATTGATTTTATCACCTTTCAGTCTCTTGACATCATCAACAATTTCTAACTTGCTGTTACTGATGTCCAAACTTTCCCATGATGTATGTTGGATGGTATTTTTTATGTCCTCCCTAGTAAAATATCTAAATAGCCACTTATTACGCTTCCTATCTTTAGTTTCTCAACTCCCTCTGGGTCCCTCAGGGTTAAACCTTTTCTCTGATTACCATCTTCCTGATGGGACATTGCTGTGCGCAATTGGCTGCCGCATTCGCCCACAAATATACAGTCAATTCACTTTACCGTGTGTTCTGTGAAGGGCTTTGGGACATCCTCCCGACGTGAAAAGTGCTATATCAAATGCAAGGATTATTATTATTATTATTATTATTCCTGTTATATTGAAAGGTACTTTTTTTTACAACAATTTCTATGTCCCATTTTGTTCTCGGTTTCCCTTAATCTTTTTTATTTGACTTGCTTCTGTACATTCTTGCACTCAACTCAGTGGTCAGTGCTCTTTATTCTCCATGCAAACTTCAAAAAACTTCCTTTATTTCTCCTCATTTTTACCCCCATGGTCTACTTTGAGAATTTTGGCTTTGTTTCCCAGTCAGAATGAATACCATTGCATTACAGTCATTACAATTGTGGGAGGTGAACTGTGCACTGACTGAAAGAACAAGACTCGCTTCAGGGTATAGTATAATTATAATAATAATCCTTGGATTTGATATAGAGAACGTATCACGTCTTCAAGATGCCACAAAGCATTTCACAGAGTACAGTGTAAAGTGAATTGGCTGTACATTTTGTGGGCGAAATGCAACCCCGAGACCCTCTCGCTTGTGAGGTGAGTGCTCTAACCAATACACTACAGCACTCCACAATACACTCCACAATACACCATATATTTCATAAAGGCTCCTCTCTAAAGCTATGTTAGTCCTCAATTTACTCAGTCAAACCAAAATAAATACACGCTGGTTAGCATTAGCATTGGGGATACAGTTGCACGCTGTCTTGTGTCTTTCAGTGGTCAATCTAACTGATCTTGTGTCAGGCAGGTTTGCAGGTGTTTTTCCTGTTCTTCTTTTACCTACTAAAGGCTACGTTTCAAATGCCAACTCAGACAAGCCTTAAACTTAAGCTATTAATATCACTAATGGCTTCTTATCTGATTTTGATGCTTAAAACACATCACAACAACGTATCTGCTGTCAGATTGAAGTACAAGTTAAAGTTAAATACATACGTCAAGAAGGCAAATTATTTATTTTTCTACTCGCTGCATATTTTACCAAGGAGAGGATTTGGATATATGTATCATTATGTGTGACACATACAAGGGTGTGTTGGAGCATCTGCTGACATCTATCCTTATCAATACAATCAATGGAAAACATCTTTGAAGATGAATCAAATTCCTTTTAATAAACAACAAAGAGAAATTTAATACATCATTTATTTTAAAAGCCATGTATCAATTAACTGAGGAGTAACGTTTTTTATAGCGTGGGGTAACTTATTTGATTTTGTTTTAATCTAGTTCTAATTCACATCTTTTGAATAATTCTCGAGATAATTTGTGAGATCAAGAAAGGCTTGGGTGAGAAATGGCCCATTTGATCTCAGAGTACCAGAATACCTCACCCTACCAACATGCCACAGTGCAGCATCGAGTGGATTCTTAAATGGCTCCAGTGTCCTAGCTTCAATCACCCTTCCTGCTAACTCCATTTCACTGCAAATGATTAACCTAGCTCATTACACATGTCATCCTAGACCAGTTAGTAGCCCTCTCACCTCTCAGTCAGCGGTTGGCTGTGGGTTCAAGCCCCACATGAGGACCTTGAGCTGATATAGTCCAGACTGACACTGCATTGCAGCACTGGTGAGAGGTGCACGTGGATGAGACATAACATAACATGTAGGAGCAGGAGTAGGCCATTCGGCCCTTCGAGCCTGCCCCGCCATTCAATCATGGCTGATCTTCTAATCTAACTCCAGCTAATAACCTGACGCTGCCTTATCCCCATATTCCTTAATCCCTTTTGCAATAAGAAATCTATCTATCTCAGTCTTGAATATGTTCAAGGACTGAGCGTCAACAGCCCTTTGGGGTAGTGAGTTCCATGCATTCACTGCCCTTTGAGTGAAGAAGTTCTTCCTCAACTCAGTGCGAAAGAGCTGCCTCTGATTTTAAGGTTGTGACCCCTGGTTTTAGTTTCTCCAACCGGGGGAATCAATCTCCCACTATCTACTCTATCATGGCCTTTGATGATCTTATAGGTTTCTATAAGATCCCCTCTAATTCTTCTATAGACATTAAAACCAAGTTTCCATCTGTCTGTTCAGGTGGAAGCGAAGGATCCCACATCACTATTTGTAAAGAGAAGTAAGTTTCTTCTGATGTCCTGGCCAATGAATCCCCATATAGAATTGGTCATTCTCTGTGGTTGTGCACAAATTAGCTGCCGACTAGACTTTACTGTGTAGGTATGATCTCTTCATTTTGTTAAACGTAGCATAAGGGAGTGCCAAGGGAAAGAGGGAGAGAAGAAAGAGCAAAGGTTCAGTAAGTTTGTTCAGTGAGGAGCAGAGCCACACACACACACAAACTGGGAACATCCTAGAATAGATTCGCGGTTGGCAGTGCCTTAACTGATCTCAGGGAAGGTACAAGCCCTCTCCGATTTCTTGTTTGTTGTCATTGTTATGCTGAAAGGTGCAGTTACGTGGATGTTAGGTGAGTCAAGATAGAGTTCATTTGCGATGTCTCTATCCCACCTCTTATCAAAATAGTGTTTTCACACTCACCACCAAGACTCTCACATGAATAATGGGCCCATGGGGGCGGGACGTGAACTATAGAGTAGTTTTAAAAAAAGGAGTCAAAGACTCTTCAAGGGAATATGAAAGATTTGTGCAGAGAATTGGAAAGCAAAACTTTAAAAAAAGCAAATTAAAATAAAATTTTGGAACAAGCGTAAAAATGAACAAGTGGAGTTCTGTAGCTCAGTGGTTAGAGCACTCGCCTTGCAAGCGAGACACTTGGGTTCAATTCCCGGCAGGGGGCGAAACCTTGGGCAAGTTTCCTTACTCCACACGCCTAATAATAATCCCTCCAAAACAAAATAATAATAATAAATTGGTCACTTTAATCCACACTGTTTGTATGTGCAATTGGCTGCTGCGTTTCGCCCACAAATATACAGTCAATTCACTTTACTGTCTACTCTGTGAAGTGCTTTGAGACGTCGAGAAGACGTGAAAAGCGCTATATCAAATGCAGGGATTATTATTTTATTATTATTAAACGCCGCACAGAATAATAATAATAATCCTTGCATTTGATACAGCGCCTTATCATGTTATTGAGATGTCTCAAAGCACTTCATATTTACATATTGTAAAGAGGATTAACTGTATTTTGTGTTCGAAACCACAGCAGCCAATCGTTTACAGCAGTGATTTGAAAGTTTATTTTTAGTGGTCACTCCGTATATTGCTGAAGATATCTGACGAAGCCTCAGGGTGTGAACATTCCTTCCATGTTAGTGTCAGCACTAATATCGTTTGTCCGCACAAACCACACCTTTAGCTTCCTATAAAGTGATATATTGGGACTGCAGCCACATCCACGCAAATAGAAGAGCTCTCTCCTCTCCTCCCCTTGCCTTTCCTCTCCTCCACTACAGAGTTCTCTGCAAGACTCTGCAGTCATAAAGCAGGTAAGCAAGAATAACCATTTATTGTCAATTTATGGCATTTTACATTAAGTCAAACCCATTGCTGGGTTTAGTCAAAGAAAATGTGTTTGGCTGAGACGTGATTATCTTTACTGGCTGGGTAAATAATCTTTTGATCTACATGTTTCTGTGAGAATTTCAGTGGTTTGAGTTGGGGTTATTAACCTTTGTAAAGTCCAATCATTTAAGACGCCACAGATGTGGGATTGCTGCTGTTGTTCAGAATAACTGTACTGCTCCAAAGCATAATAATAATAATCCTTGCATTTGATACAGCGTCTTTGAGCCGTCTCAAAGTACTTCACAGAATATACTGTAAAGTGAATTGACTGTATTTTGTGGCCGGAAGCTTGCAAATTTCTAAATCTGTGACATTAACTTTTGTAACCTGTGCATTTATGACTGGATTTCAGTCGCTTACTGTGAATTCAGCTTGATCGTGGAGTCCTGTAGCTCAGTGGTTAGAGCACTTGCCTTGCAAGCGAGAGACCTGAGTTCAATTCCAGGCAGAGGGCGAAACCTCGGGCAAGTTTCCTTACTCCACACACCTAATAATAATCCCTCAAGAAAAAAAAACAATAATAAATTGGTCATTTTCAATCCACGACTGTTTGTGGGACGCTCCTGTGACCAATTGGCTGCCGCGTTTTGCCCACAAATATACAGTCAATTCACTTTATAGCATATTCTGTGAAGCGCTTTGAGACCTCGAAAAGACGTGAAAAGCGCTGTATCAAATGCAAGGATTATTATATCTTGTGGTGTTACATTTAGTGAAACCAAATGTTAAGGCAACTGCAATTACTGGTTAGGATCTTGTTGTCCTTTGTTCACTTCTTGTCATTGTTTTGAATGAAAAGCGTAAGCGTTTTTGCTTGCGTCTTGAATTCATTCTCATGAAAGACCATCTAGAATACAGTCATATCAAATTTGTTCGACTTATTGAGCACTAAATCGCCAGTGGGGTGAATTGGGAGTTTGAATACCTGTATTACCTTTGTGACATTACACCAAGCCAGTTTCTCCGTGTAACTCAATCGCAAAGGATGGAATTGGAATATGCTGCCTTTCTGCAAAATCACCCATTACAGGTCTGAGCTGAATCATTTGGATTATTTGGTTTTGATGGATGAGCCAGTGTTGCCCAGCAACATTTTTGAAAGCTAGAAATAAATGTTTGTAACAGTAATGTGCAATAATGTTTCTGGTCAGGAAGTATTTTAAACGTTTACTTTTTCTGCTGGATTTGAGGTTTGTGATATTAGCCCTCACCCCCCTACCAAACCCCCCTGAACACCAAAAAGCAGGTTGTGCATCTTTTACCGTGAATCGGTTGACGGTTGGGTCTAAATGCAGGAAGTCAAGATTGATTCTTTCCTACTTTTGAGAAGAAAGTAAAGCATCTCTGGCCAACGAAACTGGAGGCTGTGTTGGAAGCTTAGCAGTCACATTGACCTGAATATTTCTCAACCAGGATTGACAATACAATAAGCAATGACTAGCCTCTATTAAAGGGAGTGTGAGATGTGGGCTCACTCAGGGGTTGATCACTAACTGAATGTGTGGATAATAAGGTGAGGACAGAGTCTGATGCCTGCCAGGGTTAGTGACCAGGTTAATACCCACTGAAGCTGTCCAAGTGTTATGGCTCAGTTGGCATCCGTGCAGCCAGTCACTGGGACCAGGAGAGGAGGGGAGACAATAGAACCAGTTTATAATATTACCATTTGATACCATTTTATTATTATTATTTGTCGCACAAGAAGCATAAGAGGCCCAGGAAACAAGGAGGCTAAAAGCACACAGGACCTTGCAGCCTAATTATTTGATGCACAAGCACATGCTGAAATAACCCGGCCTGTGTTGGGATGGTCTTCAGATTGAGGCTTTCCTTAGATACCATACCTTCAGCTCTCAGGCATCACACAATGAATAGACACAGGATGGACTTTAACATGGAAACTGGAGACTGTTGCTATGATGATTGTGACCCTGGATTTTCTTTTGCAGCAACTTTACAGTTTAGGAACTTCCCGGTCTCCACAGATACCATGAACAAGGCAGTGTCTCCCGATTGCTCACTGTGGGTAAAGCTTATGACAGTTACTGTCACCATTGGTAAGTCCGTCTCTGTATTCTGGGGTTGTTGCTGGCTGCTGCAATAGTTCTCTCACACAGGGCACTCCTCAGAATAGTGAGTTAAGTGAATAGCTCTAACCTGAGGTTTTAGCTGTAAACTATAGGGAACAATACAATTTACATTTTACAGCACCTTTCATGTTGGGAGGACATCTCAAAGTGCTTGTCACTGCTGGCTGGGCTGAGGGGTGGGAGACACAAGCGGTGAGGAGGGGAAAGATGATGGAAAGTACGACTTGAGCCATTACATATTTTTTAATATAAATATATTTTTAAAACCCTAACTCTTAATATTGTCATTGTCTGAACTTCACTTGAGAAGTTATTGTTCTCAGTATAACAATAATAACTCTTGCATTTAATATGTAGTACGTGGGTATTTCCACAGACCCCAAATTGGATCTGTGTTGGTTGCAAATTGTACTGATCGGAAATTTCGCAGACCAGTAAATAGGAAACACAACAGTGCTTGTAATCTCCCAGTTTCTTCCAAGAGAAATTGTTAAAGCATTGGCTTGGTGTTTAGGTGAGAAGAGTGTTTATGGCAATGGGAGGTTTTGATATTACCCAGACCTGAGGGAAAACTCCCACAAAAACATCTCCTTCAGTGGGTAGGGGTAGGGCTGTGTCATTTCTGGCCAACAGATGCTTCAGCTATCATCAGGAGAGCTGAAAGAACAAATAAACATTCCATTGAGAGGGTTGCTATTGATGTTCTCTGCCAGAGACACATTCCCACCCCAGGAAACACGTACACTTTCAGGAACAAACTGATACCAAGGCTATCTGTAATGGTGAGCCACTGGTACTGCTCTGTGTACAGGCACCAGAATTCCTTGCCATGGGCTTGAGATACATCAAAAAGGAGTGCGTCTGTGTAGGGAGTGTGTATAGGGAGTGCTTAAGGAGCGTGTGTGTGTGGGGGGTGACTATCAGTACGCCCCAGACCTCTGCTAATGTAACACACCAATGAGTCTCACCAATTGAAATGACGAAACTCTAATCATTGCCTGGAAAGCCCTTAAACTTGTAAATGGCACCAAGTTGTTCTGTTGTGTGTGTGCTTGGTTTAACACATCATTCTGATTTTTTTTTCCAGGTTTCTTCCTCGTGTCCACTTGCAGTGCTCAGCGGGTAAGAGCGATTTTATACCCTCACTTATCCTGGCTCAGCTGTAGCACATTTAGTCCAAAGATGAGCCTCCATTGCTCTGTGTACTAATCCCACAGTGTTTGAGAGGTACTTGCACAGGCAACATGTGTGAGCAGGCAGGAGATAGCTTCATTCTCTGCTTCAGCAGCTGAAATAATTCTACTTGTTAATAATTCCTTAAACAATAAAAGCCATCTGATAGACAACAATAACAACAACAAAATTATGTTTGTATATAGAGTCTTTCAGGTTGGGAGCACATCCCAAGGCGCTGGACATTCAGTGTTTCTGATAAAATTAGAAATACGTACTCTCTCTTTTGAGAAATTAGTATGCACTTTAGTTAAATGTATTAATAACAACAATGCTTGCTTAATAATATTAATAATAATGCCTTTCACGTTGAGAGGACATCTCAAAGTGACTCACAGGATATACACTGTACTTTGAACTGCATCAAATAAAACTTGGTTTCACAGTTGCAATTTTTTTCCTGCACATAGGCTTTGTTCAGGACAGAATCACAAAGTCCACTCGAAATGCTGGTGAAAGAAAGAGTGAAGCGAGCTGGTATGTCTTTAGTAATAGTTACTTGGATGTTGGTGGGTGCTTCTCTTCTATTTGAATAGCAGGGCTTCAATCTATTTGAGAAGTTTACCACGTGGAACTTTATCAATCACTCAACCCATGACTTTTTGTGGGACACTGCTGTGCGCAATTGGCTGCTGTGTTTCACTCACAAAATATACAGTCGATTCACTTTACGGTATATTCTGGGAAGAGCTTTGAGACGTATCAACGACATGATAAGGCACTACATCAAATGCAGTTATTATTATCAATCGCCTTCTGAAAATCCAATTAGATCAACCCCACCTGCTGCACTCGATAGTCCTCATCCACTAATTGAATTAATTCCACAAAGAATATTCCAGTCGGTTTCTGAATCCTGACATTATCCAAGCCCTTCAGAAGAGCACATTGATGGTGTCTGTATAATAGTCTCACTGCAGTCATGAGGCCAACTCGCTTATAACATCCAGCCTCAAAATCATGATCCTTCTCTGCTGTACGAGAAACAAGCCCCTCAGACACTTTGGTTTTTCACTTTAGTTTCTCAGTAAAAGGACTGTTCTAAGAATAGGTATGTTGACATTGAACAATCTTCACTCTACATTTTTCTGTGACACTTGAAGTCAGAATGTAAAGGTGATCCTAATGTCATGTGAAACCCAATGGGGTTCCAACCAACTTCCGATGGTGAGTTGTAAACAGTGACTACTAATGTCTCAACCTTTTGTGCACTTACTGGTCTTAAAAGATGTCAGCTCCATGCACAACATTCAGTTCAGTGCATTTTGCTGTGTGTAAGTGATAATTAATTCTCCATTTCCCCATGTCAGAGGTGAGCAAATAAGCTGCAATTGAGTCTAAGGCTAGATACATTGCAACTCATCTGGTCTTATTATGGGGGCTCATTAAAATAATTTGCATCTATTCTTTGCCTGGATTTTTTTGGAGTTTGTTTTCATCCCCATAAAACCTTTTCCTGACATGACATGAAAGGCACTCTATCAAATAGCAGGATTATTATTATGGGGTTATTATTTCAGGCAAATACATGCTCTCTTTTTCATAATAATATTAATCATAATCATAATAAGTAGCCAATCTTGCTGTGTAAATACCAATGAAATGAACACAGAATGAAAGTGTTGATCAGTAACTTGTGAGCACTCTCACTGCTCCATCAGATAATAACAGCACCGAAACGTCTCGCTCTCTGCTCCCATTGTAAACATGAAGAGTATTCCAGAGCTTTGTGGTACATGGCAAAGTGCACTGTTAACATGACAGTCAGATACATCAGCTCTGGGAAGAAATGGTAGAGAGTATTGCTTGCGCCCCTCACACAATGAATGTTCTCTTGTGTTCGCAGTTTGCCCACAGGGTATCATAACACCCCAGATGACTACTCAATTATTGCTGCCCATCAGATACCCCGCTGCCGATTTAGACCCATGTTTGAGTGATGAAGTCCTGGCGAACAACCTCACCCAACTTGGAAACTTGGCCTTTAACGTAGACCAGCTTCTGGTTCTGAAGAGCAGGCTGACCCAGGTAAACACACAGCTTCAAAACTACTCTGGTCCTCAGCATAAAACGCAATTGTCCGCCTGCAAATACACAGTCAATGAATGCACTTTATAGTCCATCGTGTCTGCATCACTGCTATCTAAATCATCGGCAGACAGCAAATCCCAACATACATCACTCATGGTCGAGGAAGTGCTTTGGCGGGAACTCACTGACATATAGAAAGTCTTATATGTAATTAGAGTAGTTAAAGTTAAACCTTAAATACTACTTTAAAGAATCATAGAATCTTACAGCACAGAAGTAGGCCATTCGTCCCATCGTGCCTGTGCTAGCTCTTTGAAAGAGTTAGCCAACTAGTCCCACTCCCCCGTTTTTACCCCATAGCCTTATAAATGTTTCCTTTTCAAGTAAATATCCAATTCCCTTTTGAAAAAGTTATTATTGAATCTGCTTCCACCCCCCTTTCAGGCAAGCATTGGGTTTAGTTACAATTGTGCCTCATTGAGGACATGTTTGTGAATGTGACTGGATATTAATACTTGTGTCTTTCTGGAATAGTTATATCCCAGTGGGCTGCCACAAGAACAGCTTAAACAGTTGGGCTATATAATAACTGTATATGGCCCAGGGGATGTCAGCAGGTGGAATATAACGGATCCAGACATTCTTGCATCTGTATTACAGAACAGCCCCACTCCGAACCTGGTAAGTAAGCACCAGTAAATCGATGTCTGACACTCTCAGTTTAAAAATTTCATTCACATAGGAAAGTGACCGACCATTGTGATCTATCCAGCTGGTCCCAGAAAATGGACTTAATACAAAATATTCATATGGGTTATAACTGCCTGTCCAGCACAATGGACTTATCTAAATAATAATAATAATCCTTACATTGGATATAGCGCTTTTCACGTCTTCTCGACATCTCAAAGCGCTTCACAGAATAGACTGTAAAGTGAATTGACTGTATATTTGTGGGCGAACGCGGCAGCCAATTGCACACAGCAATGTCCCACAAACAGTCGTGGATTGAAAATGACCAATTTATTATTGTTTTGTTTGGAGGGATTATTATTAGGTGTGTGGAGTAAGGAAACTTGCCCAAGGTTTCGCCCTCTGCCTGGAATTGAACCCAGGTGTCTTGCTTGCAAGGCGAGTGCTCTAACCATTGAGCTACAGGACTCCACTACTATTATAGATTATTATAATTATTATAAATTATTTATAAATGGACTTAGTAAATAAGGAGCTGTGCTCAAGGCAGCTTTAGGCTATATTATTTTCTATCTTACTGAAGCTGCTGTACTTATTAGTTCAGTGGAAAGTTACAAGGCTATGGGGTAAGAACGACCAAAAATTAATAATGAGAAAAAAAAACATTTATAAAAGTGAATCCATTTATCTGAATTGAATAGAAACTATTCTGAGGTTTTACTGTTCATGAAAAGACTAATCAATTAATTGGTGTTTTATTATGTTTTTGCTTCAGACCAATATAATTGTTTCAAACTATTTGCGAGAACCTGGGGTGCTCAACACAGCTGCACTAAATGCAATCGGTGGTAAACTGCTGTGCACTGCCAGCGAAGAGAAACTCAGAACCATCCTCCCCACTGACCTCAAGTAAGTGTTAAACCATCAACATTGAGGTTGTGTTGGAGATTGCCACCTTGTTTAGTGAATGCAGGTAACCCAAGGGTCATGGAATTTCACCGCACAGAAATGCTACATCAAATGCAAGGAATATTATTATTATTATTGTCTCAAAGTCAAATAAATTACAATGCTCAAAACCATTGCCTGACAGGAATACCAACCCACTCAATATCTCCACGTGCACCCAGCTGAAGAAAGACATCCTTTATGGCATCGCAAAGGATGCTTTCGAGGACAGATCAGGGAACCTCAGCGCCAATTACAGGCAGATTAATTCGTATCTGGGTAAGTTTCACTACAGCTTGGCTTTATCGCAATATGAGTCAGTACAGTATTGTAGAAGAGAAATTGCTTAAGGAATTATGCAATTTACTGCTAATGTGAAATTATCTAAGAGCTAGGATCTTGAGGAGCTGTTCCTCTCCCCGTGTTTGCTATAAATTGTTTTCGAGTTGTACACAGTAAATATAAATATATGGCACTGTATACCTTATCGCAGTGTAATAATCTGACAGGGTTTATTATTTTCCCCAAAGGTGGTGCACCAGCAATTGATTTACAGCGTTTAGCTGCAGCAAATGTCAACATGGACATTGAGACATTTTTGAATCTCAACCCAGTCGAAGTGGTTGTACGTATCAATGGAAGAATGTGGTGTTTATTTGTTAGCGATGCCTTCATGGCTGCCCTGTTTCTCTCGCAGTCACACACCAGGACTACATCATGTACATAATACAAACCAGCGCTTAAGTTTAGTGCAGCCCATCATTGTAACAGCACTTTCACTCCACATGACTGAGTTCAGCCACTTTATCACAACCTGGAAATGGGTAAATGGTAACTGTGCAGCTCAGCAGTACAAAGCACCAAGGCTCCACATGGTGCCCATCCAACAAGGGACATACGTTTTATATTATATAATCCATGACTGTTTGTGGGACACTGCTGCGCGAAATTGGCTGCTGTGTTTTGCCTGTGAAGGCTTCTGTGAAACATTGTGAGAAGTCTCAATGATGGAATAAGGCCTTATATCAAATGCAAGAATTATTATTATTTTAGCAATTTCACGATATAAGATTAGAAGATGTAAGACGATGAAAGAGGATTTTGCTGATGTTATATTGTTGCCCTTGTTTCGCTTTCAGAAACTCTCTGCTCAGGAAGTGCGGGACTTACTTGGAGTAAACCTTCCCAAACTGAAAGAGAATGAATCTGACCCATTAGTGCAGGCCTGGATTAGAACCCACAGCCAAGCAGATGTGCGGAGCCTGGGAGTCGGGCTGAGTGGAGGAAGGCCATCAGAACAAGAATTTGAACTTGGCCATTTTGATTTTGCAGAAGGTGGGTAGCTGCGTCCATTTGTTTTGTGCTGCCACAGAGACCGGGTGGCAATGTGGCATTACTTGATGCCCACACAGCATACAAATACAATGGTTTGCCTCCAATACACAGTCACTACACTTCACAGTAAAATCATGTGAAGCTCTTTGAGACCTCTTGACAAACATAATAAGGCACTATATCAAATGCAAGGATTGTTTTGGCATAACATATACAGCCGAAAGTATTTAATTTCTAAGTATTTTCAGTCTTTGCACATATTGTATAAGTACACACACGCGCACACTGATACCTAACAAATGGTCTCACATCCATAAAGTACAAACACACATCACATACACTTCCATTTACATTCATACACACAAATTCAAATGCACAGCTTGTAAACAGTGACATATATTTCAGCATTAGCAAAGCTGAATGAGTCTGAAAGGGAAATGGTAATTGATGGTGTGATTTTTGGCTTCATTTTTCAGGCCACAATTCAGCTTCCAGCAACCACTTGGGTCTCCAGTGTTCTTTCCTCGTTGGTGTGATAATCATTGCAATACAGAGAGTGCTGTAAAGTGGACACAGCCAAGCAATGCTTTCAGCTGTTTTACATCTAGAAGCAAATATCTAACCTCCTGACTATCAAGAACTTGGTGTTGCAAGTTAATGTTTGATGAAAGTTAACTTTGAATTAATGTAATTGTTAGCACTATGACTGAATCCTGTTTATAACAATGTTATTTAGACTGGCAAGACAAGTGAGATTCCTACACTGAGTTGCTAATAAACGTAAATTGCTCTTATATTAGGAGATTGGCCTTTTCCGGTTGTTGTTAAAGATCCTAATACACAACAAGGGAAAAGGGAGGTTGTGGTTAACAGTCTCCAGAGAGATTGGTCATTCACTTCATGGCTATTTGTGGGCCCTCCCTATGTGCAAACTAGCATTTGCCTACAAAAACAGTCATTGCGCTCAACAGTAATTACCTAAAAAGCACTTTGATATATCTAGACATTATAGATGTGATAGCAAATACAAGGAATATTATATTATTATTGTTATTATTATTATCTACAGGGCAGATTTCTCCTGATAATCCTGAAGTCAAATCCTGTCCATCTTATGCGTGTTTATGTTTTGTGGAGCGATGATATGAAATTGTATTTAAAGTTAAATTTATAGGTGAGAGGATTATTGCTCACATGGTTTAGAATGTATACAAGCAAATGCTGACATTGACACTTATTTAAATTATACTTTTACCTTCATTCACTCCCTTGCAGGTGATTTGTGAATAAAAAATGTGTTAGTAAGGCAAAGTATGGGACAGCTGTTCTTACAGTATAATTGCTGAAGATGTTAACCCCAGAGAAGATCGATTTCAAGATCCTCGCCCTTGTGTTCAAGTCCCTCCACTCCTCTGGACCCCCCCATCTCTCTGACCTCCTCTCTCCTCAAAACAGTACCCGCTGCCTTTGTTCCTGCGGGTCTGGCCTCCTCCTCGTCCCCCGAGTCCTCCACTCCACCCTCGGCGGCCGTGCCTTCAGCCACTATGCCCGAGGCTCTGGAACTCCCTGCCTCATTCCCTTCGTCTCGTTCCCTCCCTTCCCATTTTCAGTTCTCTGCTGAAGACCTTTCTTTTTGACCTTTCTTTGGTCACCTTCCTCCCCCTGGCTTGGTCCCGGGATCCGTTACTGTAAAGCACTCTGAGACGCCATCCGGCGTGGAGGGCGCTATATAAATCCAAGTTGTTGTTGTTATACAAAGTGTCAGAATTTGTAATATCCAGTTGTCGACAGCGTCTTTCCATTTTGCGGTTGGTTGCATTGTCCAGTGTCTGTCCATCATTGTACTGATGTTTATTTTTATTGCGTCACATTTGTTTCCTTTTATCAGCTGAACTATAATAAAATGTCTATTTATTTTCAATAAAATGATGAATTTCATTGCTCTCCATTCTATTTGTTTTTATTACGTTGCTCCTTCGAGTGAGCAACTTTGACTCCATTTGACCCGATAAGTCTCAGGGAAGGTAAAAGTGAAGTTACCTTCTCACAGAATGCTATTGTACAAGGGCTTGGGCAAGAACAAACCAGCTCAGAGGGTGGATGTTATTATTACTTCTGTGGTGAGCTTATGCAAACAATCGCTCAACACCTTAAGAATACTATTTGTGGTTAGAGCACACCTCTAGCAAGCCAGAGATTCAATTCCCAAGCAAAAGAAAACCTAAGGCAAGTTTCCTTGCTCCACACCCTCTGTTTACCTAGCAATAAGTAGGAACTTGGTTGCTAGTCAATTGACGGGTGTAATAAACCCTCAATAAAAATATTGGTCACTCAATCCAACCACGGCTGTTTGTAGGGCACTGCTGTGCGCAAATGGCTGCCGGGTTTCACCCACAAAATAAACAGTCACTGCACTATACAGTATACGCTGTGAAGCGTTTTGAGATGTCTCAATGACGTGATAAGGTGCTATATCCCAAATAAAAGCAATGGTTATTATGGTACATGGAAGTCTGGTGATGGAGCCCCAGAGCCCTGGGCCATGAGCTACAGATTTCCATCTTGAGCTGCTGCACTTTCCCAGGATTTACTGGGCACCAATGAGAAATATTTCTTTATGTGATTCTGTAAGGAATTCTTTTTTGGGGTTTAAAGGGAGATTAGAAAACATTCCTTTACCCAGAGTGGGGGGAGGGGGTGCTCCCACAGAGTGGGGGGAGGGGGTGCTCCCACAGAGTGGGGGGAGTGGAGGATAGAGTTCTAGAGCCTCGGGGCTGAGAGGCTGAAGGCCCGGCAAGGGGGAAATGGTCAGGGTGAGGGGAGGGAAGGGAGGGAGCGAGGAGGGGGTAGAGAGTCGAGAGGGGAGCTGAAGGCACGGTCAAAGAGAAAGGTCTTGAGACCGGCCTTGAAGGAGGAAAGGGAGGAGGCGGCGAAGGCACTGGAGGATAGAGTTCTAGAGCCTCGGGGCTGAGAGGCTGAAGGCCCGGCCACCGATAGTAGGGAGGTTGGGGCGGGGGATGTGGAGCAGACCGGAGCCAGAGGAATGGAGGGTACGGGCAGGTAGGTAGGGGGATAGTAGGTCGGAGAGGTAGGAGGGAGCAAGGCCGTGAATGGCCTTGTAGGTGAGGATGAGGATCTTGAAATCGATCCTCTGGGGGATGGGGAGCCAGTGGAGGCGAGCGAGGGTGGGAGTGATGTGTTCCCGAAGCCTGGTGCGGGACAGTACACGAGCTGCCGAGTTCTGAATGACCTGCAGTGTGGAGGGAGGGCCGGGAAGGCCGGTGAGGAGAGAGTTCGCATAGTCCAGCCTTGAGGTGATAAAGGCTTGGACCAGAGTTTCAGCCGCGTGAGGGGTGAGGTAGTGCCGTAGTCTGGCGACATTCCGGAGGTGATGGAAGGCGCGAATATGAGGGAGAAAGGACAGCTCAGGGTCGTACAGAACCCCGAGGTTCCCGATGGCTTTGAGAGGTGGAGAGTGTGGCCTTGGATGCTGACGCTGTCAGCGCCTGAGGTGCGGAGGCGCTGACGTGAGCCAATCAGGAGGGCCTCAGTTTTGCGCACGTTGAGCTGAAGAAAGTTATCTCTCGTCCAGGACTCGATGTCGGACAGACAGCTGTCAGGACATCGGTGGTCGTGGAGTTGAGGGTAGAGGAGGAAAGGTAGAGTTGGGTGTCATCCGCATACATGTGGGAGTGAACCCCATGTCTGTGGATGATGTCACCACAGGGGGAGCATATAGAGGGTGAAGAGGAGGGGACCGAGGACAGAGCCTTGAGGGACACCGCACGAGACAAGATTATGGTTTACAAACTCGGAGCAAGCAGGAGACTGGGATCAGACCAGGTGACATCTGTGGAGAATAGACAACAGTGCAGATTTGATGGACAGAACGACATAGCCAGAAGTAAAGAACTTGGGAACAAGTTGCAAATACAATCCTGGGGAATGTGTTGCATTGTCTTTCGAGTGAAACATTAAACCGAAGTCAGGTTTGCCTGTCCACGCGGACGTTAAAGATGTCATGGGGCCATTCCAGAAGGGAGTTTCTCCCGATGTCCTAGCCAACCATCTCACTTCTATGCTCTTTGTGGGAAGTGCAGCGCGCATATTGGCTGCCAAATTCGCCAACAATTATACACTCTTTGCACTTAACTCTAAAAGTCCTGTGAAGTGCTTTGAGACATCTCTACGACATGATAAGACAGGGATTATTGTTATTATTATTATTGAATGCCACACAGCGAGGGTAAGGGTTTGAGCTAAAGGGAGAAACGCCAGGCAGGTAGCAAGCCCTATTGTTTTCTAACTGTTTTCTTTAAAATATTACAGAGTTTGAGATTCTTGTGGTTATTAATTTTACCTGCAGCGCCGACCAAAGAAAATGGGAGTTGTGAGGGAGAAAGGGAATGTTGTGAGATCGGGTTATCTAACAAATTGTCTATGTTAAGTGCTCCTCTCAGTTCCACACTCAGAAACATTTGAACAGAGGAAAAAAACAAAATGAAGGTCAATAAAAAGGAATGTTGGAATGTCAGATCAAATTACGTCAGATCTGGTGCAGGACAAATCAATAAAGGTTAGTATAAGAGCAGTGACGACTGAAACTTTACACCCGTGTGGAAATTCTGTCCTCTGACGTATTTTATATACCACGTTTCACCCACAAAATATGCAGTGAGTCCACTTTACAGCATATCCTCTGTGACGTCTCAACGACGTGATACAGTGCGATATCAAATGCAAGGATTATAATAATAATATTGAGATGCGAGTGCTCTAACCACTGAGCTACAGGACTCCACAAATTATTATTATCTCTCAAAATGGCAGGTTCATTACGATCTGTGCTATGATCGTTTCAGAGATGTTACCCTTTCGATCCCTGGTAAAGGTTTGGGCTGGAAATTGTGACATTTCTTAACAGATTTGATATGATGCATACTGTTCACAAGATAAGTCTGAATGAAGAAGGCCCTTTGAACAATCTGACATCATGCCTCCAAACCACCCCCTCTACCATCCCCCTTTACTGAATCAACTGCTGTTTAAACGATTCCCAGTGTCCTGGCTTCTACCACCTTTCCTGGCCACCTGTTCCAGTTGTTGATTACCCTCTGTCTCAAGAAAAGCTTCCTGGTGTCTGTCCTGAAATTGCCCTTTACACTAAACTCTAAACCTACATTCTCTTGTTCCACTGTTTTGATACATCCTAAAGTATTGATCTGGGTTTCCTTTTTCAATCCCATTTATAATTTTGTTTACATAAAAACATGAGAATTTGCGAAGCGAAGGAAGACCAACACTCTCTGAGGTGCCCTCATTGGACAGAAAAGGATTTGATGTGACAATTAGAATCTGTTCCTTCAGGTTTTCTTTCATCCCCACTTTTTGTGTTGCTACGATTACTCTAGGGTCAATTGACAAATTGAATTAAATGAAATTAAATTTCTTAATAACCAACGAATAGTGTAGGAATATATGGTCACGGCCACTCTCTGGAACGTTCCCCTCTGCTGATCTCCAGCCACGGGCAAGGACATTTCTTTGGCCACAATCTGGCTTCCAGGGACCAGAGTTGAGAGGAGTTCACAGGATCAGTCTCGGGCACATCTGCAGTTACACATCAATATATGTGAGATCGGGTCATAGACCACATTGCTGAGGGCAAAGAGCATTTGCTCCACAAACATATGTCTGTTCCTAGTGAGTTAAAATACAGAGGGACACAATGCGTAGGGACACCTCATGACTAATACCAATAGGGATTCCTTGGCTCCTCGGATCTGAAGGTCATGCCTTGAAATTATTGTAGGTCTCTTTCATGGTTAGTCATTGCCTGGCTGACATTCTAATACAAATACAATACAAAATTACACTTGTCAAGCATCTTTCACGTTGGGAGGACGTCTCAAGGTGCTGAACCAAAGCTTCTAAGAAACAATTCTGAATAGTTTCGATGCTATGAGAAAACTTTATGGAATGATAATAACATTACTGGGTAATAAAGAAACACAAAGGGCGTGATTTGACTGTATCCAACCTGTGAGGAGAAATTTCATCTGGGTCTAGATTATTCTATGTCTATTCCCACAGTAATATAAATTAATAATTCTTGAATTTGATACATCGCCTCATCATGTCTTCGAGACGTCTCAAAGCACTTCACAGAATATATTAAGTGAATTGACTGTATATTTTGTGGGTGTACAATACAAATTTGCATTTGCTATATATTGCTATATTTGCTATATTTGCTTTCACCTGGGAGGAAGTCCCAAATGGGATGATGATGGGGAGGGAATGATGATCGAAAACACTGTCAAAGAGTAGGTCTTAACCTCAAGAAAATAAAAACAATAATAAATTGGTCATTTCAATCCAGGACTGTTTGTGGGGACACTGCTGTGCACAATTGGCTGCCACATTTCGCCCACAAAATATACAGTCTATTCACTTTACAGTATATTCTGTGGAGACGTGAAAAGCACTATACATTATTGTATTAATGCAAGGATTATTATTAATATTATTAACTTCTAGTTCTTCAAAGAACTTACTGAAAATTCGCTTCAAAATTAAGCCTCCGTTCAAAAATGCTAAGAAAATAATAATAATCCTTGCATTTGGTATAACGTCTTATCGCGTCATTGAGACGTCTCAAAGCGCAGCACAGAATATGTGGTAAAGTGTATATTTTGTGGGTGAAAATAGAGTAAATCTAGACCACAGTTCTGATAAAGGGCCACACTGGAAATGCCAAACCATTTCTCCTTTTCAGATATTGGTGGGATGCCATCCTGTGCATCCTCAGATGTGCATTTTCAGATGTTTATATGATCTGTTTGGGTTTCCATGGTGTCCACTTCTCCCATATCCCTGACGCAAACAGCTGGATTTCATTTACGTCCTTCTATTGTCAGCCCTGATAGAGATTCCACCCAAATCCTCAGTCTTCTTCATTTCATGCAATTCACGTATGTCATCTCCATTTATTATCACATACCTTTCTAGGGTAGACCAATTATAATTTGTTTTGAATGAATCTATTGCATCACAAGAACCACACCTGGATTGCAGGACTGAAATATAAAAGCTCAGCGCAGCTTCACACAGTACTAAACCACTGACTGGGACTATCCTCCTCTCATCTCCGCTGCTCAGCACAAGTCACCACCGGACAACAAGTAGGTGCAGCTTTTGATTTGCTCTTTAGGCAACGTTTCAAATTCTTGCTCGACTGGAGCAGGATTCACTTTAACACTCGGGAAAATTAAGAGGCTTTGGGGGTTCAGGAGACAATCAAAATGCTTTTGCTCACCAGCAGTCCTGAAAAGATGCTTTAAGAAATATGCCTTTGTCCATATCAGTGCTTTACTGTACAGTAGCAGATCCCCACATGAGCTTCCCGGTGGCTGCTCAACCACAGAGCACTTGTGAACCGAGAGGGTCAGATGTCTGTGTGATGCTGTATGTTGCACATATTCGCTGTTGAACGAACGCACTTCGATTTTACTCCACTGCATGTGATTTTGCTTTAGTGTGGAGTTCTGCGTTGTCTCTGCTTGAGGTGAAAATGAGCTGCTATATTCTATTGCATGTTATTGTATTATATATTTCTCTTCAACCGTACCCCTCTGCCTTCCCTCACCCCTATACCCCCCACCCCATGCTTTAATTATTAATAGTAAAACATTGTTGTTTAAGAATCAGCACAAGTTAGAGCCTTTGGTAACCAATCCAGATTTGTTGTATTTATGTATTTACTTACAAATTTACACTTATACAGCGCCTGTAATACAATGAGACTGTCACCAGGTGTTTCACGGAGGCAGAGCTGGGATGGTGATGGGGAGGGGGAGGTAAAGATGTTTGATGCCCGACTCCCTGAATCAGTGAGGGTGGAGCTCACTAAACCTTTAGCAACACAATAATTGTTTAATCACTAATTAATGCACTGCAAAGACATTTAACTTTTACTCTCAGGGGAACAGGTGGAGTCCTGTAGCTCAGTGGTTAGAGCACTCTAACAAGAGAGAGACCTGGGTTCGATTCCCGGCAGAGGGTGAAAACTTGGGCACATTTCCTTACTCCACACAGAGCCTAATAATAATCCCTCAAGAAAATAAAACAATAATAAATTGGTCATTTTCAATCCACAACAGTGTGTGGGACAGAGCTGTGCGTGATTGGCTGCCGCATTCGCCCACAAATAAACAGTCAATTCACTTTACAGTCTATTCTGTGAAGCTCTTTGAGACGTCGAGAAGACATGGAAAGCGCTATATCAAATGCGAGGATTATTATTATTATAATAATAGGTGTGAATAAGAATATTGGTACCTTATTAACTCGGTTACTGCTGAAAACATGAGAATGAAAGGAGCTTCAGACGTAGCAGCTGTCAATCAAAACCCTTTGCTTCTCAGCCCTCTTCTGGTTCACGGTGATGAAGAGGTTAAATGCTGCGCTTTGTGAACTGGGGAAGCAGAATTGCCTATACGCTCTTCTCAATCAAACGGTTATGGGGACAAGGCTGGGACGTCAGCTCACGGCTCAAGCTGACATTCCAGTGAGGTGCTGGGCACAGAGAAGGTGGCTGAAACATTCACGATCAATCTTTAAAACTTAAGGGATAAAAAGTCTTCGGAACACAGCGATATACGGATTGCAATCTGCTCGCTCCTTCAGACCTCTCTTTGACAGTGCTTTGGGCTACCTTTCCCTCATTTACTCAGCTACCACTGAAGCACTTTGAGACATCTTCCCCACGTGAAAGGCGCTGTATAAATGTAGATTGTTGTTATTGTTTTCATTACTGTGACGATCATGACCCTACATTATTTTATTTTCACAGCGTAACTCACTCTGTGAGTTGGAAAGGAAACGGCAGCATGAATCAGAAATCAGAATCGATCAAACTGAGCTCCAGGGTGACGATCATAACACTTACTCTGGCCTTTGGTAAGTCTCCCTCTCCAGTGAACATTAACTGCAACCGAATGCAGGTAACAGGAATCGTAAGGGGTTTAACCGCCCATCACAATTATGACAATTAACTCCCCTCCCCCACCCCCGATCCAATTTAAAATTAAACGTAAAACAGAAATGGTCGTCAGATCCATCAAAGTTCACAGATCGGCAATATTGCCCAAGTTTTTGAAGAGGTCACTGATGTGAGATTTGTAATTATTTTGGGGGAGGCGGGGGGATGTGGATAGAAACAGAGAGAAGTGGGTATGGACTTTCAGAAGATACCAGTGTAAAGTTTGGCGGACATTAACAATACAGGATGTATCTTACGTGGTCGAGTCCATCACTGTAACACACACGGCCTTGTGATGTCATTGAGAAGTGACCAAAATTCCTGTTATCTGTGGAAATCCCTTAACTCATGGCCATTATGGCTTATTTTCTTTAATCTAACACATAGTTCTGCTGTTTTCTTGCAGGTTTGTGCTTGATGTCCATATGCAAAGCTAAGCAGGTAAGAAAGATTTAACACCCCCTTGGCTCAGCTACAGTAAATTTAACCCAATAATAAATAAGACCAACCTTGGTGCTCTTTATATAACCTCACAGTATCTGAAGGGAACTCAGACGGATAGATCAGAGAGGGAATGGGAGGTTTGGCTTTGTGAGATGAATGATTACAATATTTGTATAAACACTGCCTATTAAAATCAGAAAGACATACTTGGTATCTATAAATGTACATTTTATCTGAAATACATTTAGTGTTATTTACATCAGCCCCTATGTAGTTAGTTACACTGAAACTGTATCAAGTAGCTTTAAAAATCCCACTTCAAAACTTACCTCTTCGATTGCACTTCTGGCCACCTCTTTCTTGCTTGCTCTGTTTACCCAGCAGTAAGTAGGAACCCGGTTGTTAGTCAATTGCCGAATCACTTTCTGGGGTAATAATCTCTTTCCCCCCAAAAAAATTAGTCACTCAACCCACAATTGCTGTGTGCAATTGGCTGCCACGTTTTTCCCACAAAATATACAGTCAATTCTCTTTACAGTATTTTCTGTGAAGCTCTTTGAAACGTCTCAAAAGTAAAGGCGCTATATCAAATGCAAGTATTATTATTATTGTGCAGCGCTTCGAGACACTATCCTGCATGAAGGGCGCTGTGTAAATGTATATTGCTGTTGTGGTTACAATTATGTACGCTTATTCCACAGATTTTTCCATTGAGAAGTGACAATTTGTCCCTGCAGAAGAGATCAGTAGGAAAAATCAGTGTGAACCCACGCTCACTTAGTAAGTAACCAGAATTGCGTCTTACTGCTGCAAAGCTGAATGACTGTGTATCTCTCACCTACTGAGTAACACAGCTCAGGAAGGATGTCCGAGGAATCCTAGACACTCTAAATGGCAGATAAATCACAATGATATCACAAAAGAGGATTAAGTAAATAAGCCTCATTGGCCCATTTGATCTCATCATTCCAGAATAACCACTGACCTGTGCTCCTATACCCACATCATTGAGCTATTTTTTTCTGCAACTGTTCCAAACACAGAATTGATCTGTGTGCCACATTAGTTTTGGTTTTGCAAAGGATAAGAAAGAACTTAAAAAAAGATTTTTATAGATCCTTAACATGCCTCAAAGTGTTTCGTAAGTGAATGCATGATTAATATGATCTTAAGATACAACTCCTTAGAGCCAAAATAGAAGAAAATTGTTTCAGTACTTGAGAATATTCATCTGTCAACAAGCTTGTTACTCAGTCAGTGTTTTATTGTGTTCTCAGATTGTTCGAGCCCAATAACACCTGAAATGACCTTGAACGTTTTGCTGCCAATCAATTATCATGAAGATATGTTGGACAAGTGTTTGAGTGATGAAGTGCTGAAGAACAATCTCACACAGCTTGGAAATTTAGCCTTTAGTAAAGGTCAACTTCATATTCTGAAGAACAGATTGAATAAGGTAAATATGCTTTTCTATCAGAAATGAGAATCTGGTATCTCTGGGATAAGCTCCTGGAGACAGTAATGGACAATTATTGTATCCTTTATTGAGGGAAGGATCAGTAGTCAAATCCTGGGGTACTATAACGTGTTCAGATTGCACCTCGGTTTGTCAAATAAACCTCTCAAAACATCTGCTCATAAGCTGACAAAGCTTGGGGGAAAACAAGTTGCAGTGATAATGACAATCCTGTCATTCAATATAGTGTTTTATCACTTCTAAATATCTCAAAGCTCTTCTCGGAGCTTTCAGTAAGGTAAAGTATACTGAACTATGTATTTACAGGTGATCGCGATAGACAATTTGCGCACAACAGTGTCCCAACAGATAGACATGAAGTGAATAGATGATGAAGTGAATAGATAATGCTGGCAGGGCATTTCGAATAGTGCCATGGGATTTTTTAACGTCCACCCGAACAGGCAGACAAGTTTAACATCTCATTCAGAGAATGGCATCTCTGACAATGCAGCTTTCTCCCAACAGTGCATTGGTGTGAAGGTCTGGATTATGAGCTCAAAGCTCCAAAGTGGGGCTTAAAATAATAATAATAATGATAATAATAATCCTTCCATTTGATATTGCGCTTTTCACGTCTTCTAGACGTCTCAAAGCGCTTTACAAAATAGACCGTATATTTGTGGGCGAAACACGGCAGCCAATTGCACACAGCAGTGACCAAACTGTTATTGCTTTTTTTCTCTTGAGGGATTATTATTAGGCGTGTGGAGTAAGGAAACTTGCCCAAGGTTTCACCCTGCTATAAACCCTAACCTTCTGACCCAGAGGCAAGAGCACTATAACCTGAGCCAGGCTGACATGCTGATCACATCCTAATCCTGGACAAAATAGATCTGAACAGCAGGGCAGATGAGCCCACAAGTATTGGCAGTGTGCTAAGAATAGTGTAAAACTGCACAGTCAAATAAAGGCGATATAGTGTTTGCCTATATAATAGCATTTGCTTCATTTCGAATGAATTATATCTGGTAAAGAGCTTTGAGAAGTTTAATTTTGATTTAAAAAACACACTACATAAACTACATATATCTTTTATATCATTACTCAAACCACCGACTCTCATTCTATTTCCGCTGTTGTCTTGCCTCACTGGTAAATCCCAAAAGAGCTGAAGAAACCCTGTGGTGTAGCTACACAGTATAGCTGATGGCTATGGCATTTGTGTGTTAAGATTCCGTGTTGCAAATGTACCTCTTGGAACTCATGACCATCAATGCAACTAAAATATCGATATTTATTTTTCTCTGGGATAGCTGGAACCAGATGGGCTAACGGAAGACATCATTAATAAACTTGGGTTTATAATCACCGTGTACTCCGCCGAAGAGATGACCAAGTGGAAAATAACCAACCCAGACACACTGGCCGCTGTACTCCAAAACACTCCAACTCCAGATCTGGTAAAGGACACGCAAGAAAAAATTATATCTGGTCTCACCCTTTTGTTCTCACCATTGATAGGAAAACATGCCTAGAGTGAGATGAGCACTGCACTGGAGTCTCAGCCTAGATTATAGGGGCTCAATATCCCAATGTGTGGCACTGTAGCCTGGATGATGAAGTTTCAGAGCAATGCCTTTACTCACTAGGCCAGTGGTGGCCAAGCTTTTTGGTCAGCCAACAAAATAAATGTTCTTGATTGAATATTTCTTGATTGATGCCATGAACCACTTCCGGCTGTGGGCTGTGGTTTGGCCACCAGTACACTAGATACTTTTGTTTCGAACGATAATATTAATAATCCTTGCGTTTGATATAGTACCTCATCACGTCATTGAGACATCTCAAAGCGCTTCACAGAATATACTGTAAAGTAAATTGACCATACATTTTGTGGGTGAAACATGGAGGCCAATTGCCCACAGCAGTGTCCCATAAACAGTCGTGGATTGAGTACTTTTTTTTTGGAGGGATTATTATTATTGAAAGCGATCTGCCAATTGAATAACAACTAGGTTCCTACTTACTGCTAGGTAAATAGAGGGGTGTGGAATAAGGAAACTTGCCAAAGGTTTTGCCCTGCCTGGGAATCAAACCCAGGTCCATTTGCTTGTAAAGGGAGTGTTCCTACGCTACAGGACTCCATAAAATGATAGAGTATCAACTTCTCACATTCTCTTTAACCCCTGCTTTCCTGAGGGTCTTTCTAAGCCATGGTTAATTCTCTAATAGTAATACACCTTTTGTTATGTGCAGGTTGGTATCATTGTTTCAAACTATTACCAAGGACCTGGGGTGTTGAATGTGACTGCGTTAAATGCAATCCATGGTCCATTGCTGTGCACTGCCAATGAAACCAAGCTCAGAACCATTCTGCCCGCTGACCTGAGGTGAGTGTTAAATTCAAGCTATCTTACTTGAGTTGTACAAAGACCATCTTAACCAAGACAAGGGGCAGCCGTGAGGGAGAAGTGGATAGAGCCGGCCAATCCCTGGGTGGAATCCCAATCCATGCTGTTTGTTGGTCTCAGTCAGGGAGTTTGTCTGGGGAGGATCCAGTGCCTTTCCAGGGTCAGAGCCAGGAAACCATCCTTAGTGCCTCCATAGCACCATCTACGGGTAGGAGATCACTTAGCACCTGGTCACAAGGCTCAGGCCGGGCTTGCCCTGCCAGAGAGGCCATCCTGTCACCTGACCTACTCGGTGGGGTGGGGGGTGGGGTCGTGAAGGCAGATTCAGGTCACAATGTCCTTTGACAATTTGGGGATGAGAGAGTTTGGGGGGAGGGGCTTGTCATCGGGGACAGCGCTGGTTTCCAAAGTGGGACGTTTGGGTCTGATTGGATTAATGGGAGGTGATTGGGTGAATGGGGGTGAGCAGCCTGACCTCACTCACTGCACTGGTGGGTTCCTCATGGGACATCTTGTCCGTCCGCAAAGTATCAAGAGTGAGGGTGAGTTGGGGAGATTGCGATCTTATTTAGCAATCGCAGGACAAAGCAGTCATGAAAGGGTTAATGTGAACCATATTGTAACAGTAGAACCACTGAAGTAAGTAAATTGCAATTCCTTACAGGAGTGCGGAGCAACTGGATATCACCACTTGCACTCAGCCAAAGAAAGACATTCTTTACAACATTGCAGCGGACCAGGACCAAATTGGGAGCCAGAACTTTTACAACCAGACCAAGCCATACCTGGGTAAGCTTCACTACAGCTTGGCTTGATCGCACTGTGACAAAGTATTGTAGAAGATACATTGCTTAAGGAGTCACGCAAAGATTTTTGCTGCTAACATGAAGTTATAATAATAATAATAAATAGTATTCAGGTTGTACACAGTAAATATAAACATATGGCATTGTAAACCTTATCGCAGTGTAATAATCTGACAGGATTTATTATTTTCCCCAAAGGTGGTGCACCGGCAACTGATTTACAGCGTTTAGCTGCAGCAAATGTCAACATGGACATTGAGACGTTCAAGAAACTCAACCCAGTCGAAGCGGTTGTACGTATCAATGGAAGAGTGTGGTGTTCATTTGTTAGCGATGCCTTCGTGCCCTGCGCTGTTTCTCTCGCAGTCACACACCAGGACTACACCATGTACATAACACAAACCAGCCATTAGATGCAGTCGGGTGCCCATCCAACAAGGGACATACGTTTTAGCAGTTTCAGCAGAAATAATAATAATAATCCTTTGTCGAAAAGTCTCAAAGCGCTTCAGAATATATTGTATAATGGCAAGTGTAGTGACCATATATTTTGTGGGCAAAACGCAGCAACCAATTGCACACAGCAGCGTCCCACAAACAGCCGTGGATTGAGTGACCAAATTATTATTTATTTATTGGAGGGATTATTACCCCCAGAAAGCAGATTACCTAAACAATAATTAAAATTGGTCATTTTCTATCTACGACTGTTTGTGGGACATTGCTGTGCACAATTGGCTGCCGCGTTCGCCCACAAATATACAGTTAATTCGCTTTACACTGTATTCTGTGAAGCGGTTTGGGACGTCCTCCCGACGTGAAAAGCACTATATCAAATGCAAGGATTATTAGTATTATTATTATAAGATTAGTAGATGTAAGACCACGAAAGAGGATTTTGCTGATGTTATATTGTTGCCCTTGTATTGCTTTCAGAAACTTTCTGCTCAGGAAGTGCGGGACTTACTTGGAGTAAACCTTCCCAAACTGAACGAGAATGAATCTGACCCATTAGTGCAGGCCTGGATTAGAACCCACAGCCAAGCAGATGTGCGGAGCCTGGGAGTCGGGCTGAGTGGAGGAAGGCCATCAGAACAAGAATTTGAACTTGGCCATTTTGATTTTGCAGAAGGTGGGTAGCTGCGTCCATTTGTTTTGTGCTGCCACAGAGACCGGGTGGCAATGTGGCATTACTTGATGCCCACACAGCATACACTGGGAAGTATATTATTACTTCTAAGCATTTTCAGTCTTCACACACTTGCATACACACGCATACACACTCACTCACACACACACGCATACACACTTGCATACATACGCACTCACACACGTGCGCATACACACACACACATACTCACTAACACATACGAACTCACTCACACGCATACAAATTTACTCACATGCATACACACTCACTCACTCACACACATACACACTCACTCAACAATACATTTTGATTTTAAATAGTTATGTCATGGCTTGAAATACCATAGTACAAGTTGCTAGAGACTGAGATAATATTTATCTAAAACAAAGTTTCTAAACCGTGACAATAATTGCAGCGTAAATCAAACTAAATGTCCATCTGTTTGTTGTTTGAAGCGCTTTGGGACACTCTCCCGACAAAATATAAAAATGATGCTGAAGGGAAATGGTTAGTGAATGGTGTGTGTTTTGTTCCATTGTCAGGCAAAAATTCAGCTTCAAGCAACAACTTTGGCCTGCTACTCTCTGTCCTCACCGGTGTGATAACTATCTCAACACAAAGACTGCTGTAAATTGGAACACAGCCAACCAATGCTTTCGACTGTCTGTACTAAATCTAAAGGCATGTATCTGAACTCTGCATCAAGAACCTCGTACTGCATATTAGTAAATGTCTAAAAAAAATTAGAGCATCGCTAGAGTTAGATCAATTTAATTTACACTTACTTCTGACAAGATTCTTAGACAATGTGACTTACACACAAACATAAATCATTATATATCATGAGTTAACATCAACCTAGTTCCAGAATGAGGTACAATATCAATGTATGGGACAGGTTTTACCTTCTCTGTTAGAGCTAAACTGAAACTGCTGGGGGGAGAAATTCCACCTTTGTCTACATTGATGGAATTATTCCTGGAGGATTTAGAGTGTCCAGAAATTGGCAAATTGTTGAATTCAGTTTGAATTTTGATTTCGGTTTTCTATAGTTCTTAAAAGAAGCTTACAGAAAACTGGCTTCAAAATTAAGGTTATGTTTAAGAATTTGCCAAAATGCTGCAGTTAAGTTAGACCCAGTTGATATAACGAGGCACTGTGTCAAATGCATGGATTAATATTATATAGGAAGGAAATACTGAATACAATAAATTATAGTGCAACATGGGGCATTTATGTAAGTTGGAATCTAGTGGATGATTTGTGTGAAATAAAATAAACATGTTGTCAGTAGACAGTGCTTTGGTGCAAAGCTGGCTGCAGTCTACTGACTATTTTATAGATAGTTGTAATGACTGGGTATCTACTGCTCTAGTGTCCTGCTATTTATGTTATTTATTATGTGAGTTTTCAAGGTGTTTTTTCCTCTTTCCTAGATAATATTGTTAAAAAACTATAAATTCTATTTTTCAATAAAAATATAAAGCAATCCTTCACTTGTTTTCACAAAGCTGTTCACTCCTGTGACCCTAACACACAATGCTTTTTGACAACTCTGGTTGTCTCCTCTTGCAACTCCTCTGCTGAAACATTAGATTCCTTCTTCTTTAAGGAGACATGTTTGGCAACGGAATGTCAGAATCAAGTCCACCCTCTTGTGGCGGTCTCGATTCCTGAGCCATGCGGCTCCACAGTATTCCAGGACACTGCTAATGACAGAACAGCCAGACTGGCTCAACGGCAGGACCTTAAGGGCAGACCAGTCACTGGGGGCAGGGAGTCATCCCAGTCAGCTCCTGTTACCCTGCAAGCCAAAGCCCTAACAGGTAGGGTGGTTCTAGCTGGACAAGCAGCAGGAAGCTTTTCCTTCCATTGGGGTTATCATTCCATGGATACTGGTTGATTTCAACCAAGTGGGCACTGCTCATGTTTGAGCCTTGCCAGGTAATTTGAGCATTAAATTGGAACCCCTTCCTATTCTCCCCCTGTTGTCCACACTCATGCACTTTCTAGTGGAGAGGAAGGGAGCCATAAGGAAAGAGATTGTACATTAAGCAGCGGCTCCTCAGGAGAACTATCTGAAAGTCGCACCTGAAGACCTTCTCTTTCACTGTACCTATGGTCACTACCCCCCATCTTGGCTTCAAGCTCCCAGAGGACTTGACAGAACCACCATCAAGTGATCTGGGACCCTACCTTGTGTAACGGCCACTTTATAAATGCAAGTTGTTATTGAACTGAAACCAATTGTACCAGCCAAACAATGCTGCAGGTGAACTTCAAACCTCAGTAAAGGCTACAGTATAATAGTCTAATATCTAGACTCAGTGAAATGTGCCACCAAATAACACTATTTAGTGCTGAGCTCAGTGGAAAGGCATCAAGTACTGCACAGAATACAGCTGAAAACCCTCACAACAGTCAGTGATATCAAATGGTAAGCTATGCTGTGTGGTTTTAGCTGGTTAGACTCCAGCGGTTACCCCAAAGCACACTCTAAAGCCAAGCCTTGGCTCTTGCACCAACAACTGGAGAATAATATTTCATTACTTTTGAAATGCACAAACTGCAAATGTATTTTTTGTTGGAAGACTTCCAAAGAAAACACGGAACAAAAATCTAAAGTTCCTCAAAATGGAGGGACGATCCTTGCAGGCATCACACCTCAACTAGCATCGCTAGGGCTCTTTGAACTTCCCCTATCTTTGGAGTGGAAGCTATTTCCATAGTCCAACCTGGCTTCACCTCAAGCATTCCTTGTCACACGTCCAAGAAATGGTCTTCACAGGTGCTCACGTCAAGCCCAATCAAGTGCAGTGAGACCATCCAATCGTGCACAGCTGGAATCCTGAGCATGGATTGTCTCAAGTGACCTCGTCATAATAACATAATTGCTCGATGAAAGACCAAGATCCATCCAGTTCGCCTTCCATCATCCTGGCAGTCGCTTACACATGTCATGTCCCAAACTATATACTGGATCCCACGATATTATTTCCTGAAAGAAATAGTCCTGGAGCTACAAGTGCTCAAATAGAACGGAAAATTAGAGAAATAACAAGATGAGTGCAGCAGCCAAGTGAAAATAAATTGATTCAACATAAGAATGAGACTAGACAACCAAAAGATACGCAAGAATGTCACGACTCACAAGTTCTGAAAAGAAAAACACGCACATGTATTCTAAATGATTAGTTATAAAGATGGAAAAAAAAGCACCCTAAAGCTCAATATTACCAGCAGGATAGGCTAACAGTGTGCACAACGCTGTGAGCTTCCAGCTGTGTTCAATCAGTCATCTCCTGTGTGCTGCAGTCTGACCAGGCCAGGAAAATATTGAACCAGTCGAGGAAAGATCCAAAATTCACAGCTCATCCATATGCAAAGCTAAACGCTGCTTATAACACTCCATATATGGTGTTACCTCTGTGACCTGCTAACTCCTTGTGGACCTGTCCACTCACTCAGCTCAGCAGACTCCATCCCTTTGCTGTGCTCCCTCCCTTGCTTCCTTTAAGGTACATCTCAAGACCCTACTCTTTGACAGTGCCTTCGGTCACCCTTCTCCCCCTTGCCCTCCACCTCTTCTAATCCCAAATCCCTGCTCAGGTCCAAATCTCTGACTGTCCAGCGCCTTAATAATAATAATCCTTGCATTTGATATAGCACTTTTCACGTCGGGAGGACGTCCCAAAGCGCTTCACAGAACACACACTGTAAAGTGAATTGACTCAGTGCTTAGAGCACTCGCTTTGCAAGCGAGAGACCTGAGTTCAATTCCAGGCAGAGGGCCAAACCTTGGGCAAGTTTCCTTACTCCACACAGAGCCTAATAATAATCCCTCCAAAACCAAAAACAATAATAAATTGGTCATTTTCAATCTACGACTGTTTGTGGGACATTGCTGTGCGCAATTGGCTGCCGCGTTCGCCCACACATATACAGTCAATTCACTTTACAGTGTGTTCTGTGAAGCACTTTGGGACGTCCTCCCGACGTGAAAAGCGCTATATCAAATGCAAGGATTATTATTATTATTATTATTTGTGGGCGAACGCGGCAGCCAATTGCGCACAGCAATGTCTCACAAACAGTCGTAGATTGAAAATGACCAATTTATTATTGTTTTGTTTTTTGGAGGGATTATTATTAGGCTCTGTGTGGAGTAAGGAAACTTGCCCAAGGTTTCACCCTCTGCCTGGAATTGAACTCAGGTCTCTCGCTTGCAAAGCAAGTGCTCTAACTATTGAGCTACAGGACGCCTTGGGACGTCCTCCCAACGTGAAAGGCTCTGTACACATGTAATTTGTTTTTGTTGTTAAAGAGGTGCTAGCAATTACCTTTCTTACCCACTGACACATTAAACATGACTAACTGATAAAAGGGCCAGCTGGAGAAGGTGTCAACATTCCTCAATCACGAACAATTCTACTTTAAGACTCAGATGTCCTCCTCAAATTAGGAACAAAATGCTTTGTAACAAACAAGACTTTAAGATGTTATTGATGGAGGCTAAATGGATCATTGGGGAGGGAGGATGGATGGAAGAGTTGGGAACAGAGAAGATTATGGCAAATTTATAATGGAGACAGCAAATTTGTAAGGAAAAGGTCTTTGAAAATATTTCTGAAAGTTAGAACTCTGCCCTCCAAGCTGTGACAGTTATGCATTCCAAATTAGATGAATTCTGCTACAAACAAGCTAATCAAATGAAAATAATGAAAACTAATGAAATTGTCCTAAAAGTAGCAAAAGTACTCAAAGAGGCTTTCAGATAGCGAGACTAGAGACAGAGAGAGTGAGTGGCAGATTGAAAGTAAGAGTGGGAAAGATTCCAGATTCACATTACTTCACTGGGAGAGCCTTAATTTCATCAGGCCTAAATGGTAAAAAAAAACATTTTGCATTCAAATTTAAGAATGTGTGGAAATGTGGAAACTTTAGTCCTGATTTGGAAGCATTTTTAAAACAACAAAGAAGAAATCTGGGCTCTGCTTTTTTCAACGCGTTCAGACTTTATAAGAATTTTAAAGGGAAGTTTTGAATGTTATGTTAAACTCTCACTAAGAGGCTCACTGTCACTTGAATGTTGCATGCTAATGTCTATCAGAGGCTCTTGCAAGCGAGAGACCTGGGTTTGATTCCTGACAGGGCAAAACCTTGGGCAGGTTTCCTTACTCCACATGCCTGATAATAATCCATCAAGAAAAAAACAAAAAAACAATAATAATGTGGTCACTCAATCCACGACTGTTTGTGGGACACTGCAGTGCGCAATTGGCTGTTGGGTTTCGCCCACAAAATATACAGTCACTACGCTTTACAGTATATTCTGTGCTATATCCTTTTTCATTGTGACATAGCAGGAATAATAATAAAAAATAATCCTTTGATACAGCGCCTTATGTCTTTGAGACATTTCAAAGCGCTTCACAGAATATCCTGTAAAGTGAATTGATTGACGGTGTATTTTTTGTGGGTGACCCACAGCAGCCAATTGCCCACAACAATGTCCCACAAACAGTTGTGGATTGAGTGACTAAATTTATTTTTGTGGGGATTCAGATAAGGGTAAAGTATGATAATATTAACAATAATCCTTACATTTGGTATAGCTCCTTTCATGTCAAGAGGATAACAACAACAAATTACATTTGTATAGCCCCTTTCATGTCAGGAGGATGTGCCAGGGTGCTGAAATGTCCCAAAGTGCTTCACAAAAATATACTGCGGAGTTCTTTGTGGGGGGTGGTGGGGGGGGAACTTCTCTTTTGAAATAGTGCCATGGGATGTTTAACACCACCTGAAAGCGACTTCAGTTTCTCTCATGTGAAGAATGGCATTTCCAACAATACAGCGTTCCCCCAGCAAAGCACTGGAGTGTCACCAAGAGATCATGAGCTCCAGGGCTAACATGGAGGGGCTTGAACTCAAATATCTCAAAACTCAAAGCATGTTGGTTGCACTTCAGTACTGGAGAATTTTTCTTTAGATTACTGCGATCCCACCCGCGCCCCCTCAAAAAGCGGTGAAAAATAAGTTACAATCACATCTTGGGACATCCATTTCATTGGTGCCTCTTGTATAATTACTCTTTGATATCTATTAAAACACAAACACCTTTAGAGAATAGTAAACAAGGAAACGCCCAGAGAAGGCAACCAATAACTCCACCTTTGTGTACTTTAATGAAATGGACAAGATTTCTGCCCTGAGGGAGTACACAAGTAATTGTTAAAAAACCTGAAGAACCCAACTGATCGGTTCTCTTATGTTGTAAATGTCATCCTCAAATAGTCAGTTGATCCTCCTGCGGATCGACTTGCTGCACATTTCCAGCATGTTTGACCTTCTTAAATGAGTTTGATTTATTATTCAGCAATTGTTAACTATCCCCCAGGATAAATTGATTGTTGGTGCTGGGTTTTCTATCTTAAATCATGGCCGATTGTTAACATCATCACCAATTCATTAAAACCACAGCTGCCATTCTCAAAACAGGTGCCACTATTATCATTTAATTACGTTTTCTCTCTTCAAAAACCTGCTGTTGCTATTATATAGATCTTGAACCATGCAGATTATTTTCAGTTGAGTGGTTTGATAGCAAGATTTTTAAAAATTTAATGCAGTAATTGATAATGGAGACTGGATCTCAGTGAAATTAGATGGTAGGAAAAACAGACTGTTGGGAAAGTTAATCTTTCAAGTATTTATATTTAAAAAATCAGTAATCAGCAGGTTTGCAACAACTTTCAACATCTCTGTCTTGTGCATAAGTCAGTGGAGAACCACAATTAATACACCTTTAAAGAGGTAATCACTTCTACATGAATTGACTGTCTCTCAGCTTCATTTGACTCTGCAAAGATGAGCCTTTCTGGTTTAATAATGGAAGCTATTTTGAATGAGAGAGGTACCATAATTAGTGGAGAGTTGGTGCAATATCCTTCTTTGGCGTTCACAATGCAATATATCAGGGTGGTCCAACCTTTTGGGGTCAAGGGTCAGATGCCACATTTGAGAAACGTACGCGGGCGGCATAAGCAATATTTTTGTTTTTCCCTTCCAGAAACATAAAAGAATCATACAGAAATCCTGCGTTTTAAATTGTGTGACTGTGTTACTTAATAATGATAATCTCAAATGGAAATCTATGCATCAATTTTTTTTAATGCAACTAAAGTCCAAACACAAGATATCAACTCAGCATATGGAGACCCCTAGAGAGAATACTCAACATAACCCAAACAGATTAATCCATCATTGCAAAATTAACTCTGAACTTCAGATATGACTTGCAAACAAGACACGGGGTCTTCCAATACTTTCAATAAACAAGTAATCCACATCCCACTTACACTGAAATCCTCTATTTTCCATATCTACATTGTTTCCTACTGAGGCTCATAGTTCTGTAATTTTAGAATCGCAAACTCTAGGCTCGAGACAAAGCCATATGTGACGGGGTGGGAGGTATCTTTCTGTCACTCTCCACACTGCTTCATGGAGCCGCTGAGGAGCTAAAATAGTGAAGTGGGAAACGGTTTGTGGGTCAGGGAAAAAAAATCATACGCTGGATAGGTTGCGGCCGGCTGGCACCTGTTGGGCCAGTTTGCAGTATGTAGATTGGAGGAAGTGTACTGTACTTTACACCAGCCAATGCAAATCATAATTATAGTTTAAACTCAAATAGTTGAGTACAGGTAACATTACATGAATGGATAAAGGTTATTTGATGCGTCAAACCTACATTTTTTTCGAACAGCATTACATTCTACACATTCACTGTACTAACCTCATTTCAACTCCAGAGGTAGGAATCTGTTTATTGCAGCACCCTTGCTATCGCGATAGACTGGGGTCAGGCGCTATTACAAAACTCTGGGGTAATGTGTTAATAATCCTTTAACAGTCCAATTCCTTTAAAATGTTGAGCAGAAAACAGAAGACTCTCATGTAAAAGGCGGGTCATGGCATCATTGCAGCGTCCCAAAAAATCCACTCAGATTTGTAACAGTCTTCCTGTTTAATTACTGAAATAAAATATCTAGGCATCAAGTGGACTGTTTGTGGGAAACTCTGTGTGCAGTTGGCTGCCGTATTTCACCCACAAAACACACAATAAATCCACTTTACAATATATTCTGTGAAGCACTTTGAGATGTCTCAACGATGTGATAAGGTGCAATATCAAGGATTATTATTATTATAAGTAATTGGCTTAGGAATTGTATTTGTATCGAGAATAAAATCCATTAATTGGAAACAGTGCAGATATTTAAAGTTTGAATTTTATTGCATATATAACAAAAATGAATCAGACCTCTTGTGGCCAACATTCTGCTCAATCACCAACCATCCAATTCAGTCCATACCTCATTCAATACCATCAATAATTAAAAATACCTCGATTCACAGTTAACACAAAGATTTTGTACATGGTTAACAAAATTGGTGCTAAAATGGGTAAAAAGACTTTAGCAGCAACACTGAAAAAGGCAGAAAAAAAGCCTAAAAATTTTCCTCAAAATTATTTGTTACTAGTTAATAAATATGTTTAAAACAATTTAATTTGCAAAAAAATAGACGTTCATTTCAGGGGTGTGGGGGGGTTGGTGGGGAGGACAAATCTCTTATGTAGAAGTCAAGAGTGCATGTCAAGGCTGGACAGCAACTTTGAACATTTTCACCTCAGAGGTTAATGATACACACAAAAAAAGTTTAAGAAAAGCTTACAAGATGGTCAGAAAAGAACCTTGTATTCAATAGGAAAGGTTCTACAGGTGCACAGTGGATGATAAAGATAAGTACAGTATATATACAAGACAAGAAAGCATGATGAAAATTAGCACAAACAGTACAAAAGTGAAATGGGGACAGATGATGATAATGATGCACCTTCTATGACTATGACTGTTTATTGCAGCACCCTTGCCATCGCAATAGACTGGGGTCAGGCGCTATTACAGAACTCTGGGGTAATGTGTTAAGTGTGATAAGTGCAGCTACTGTATATATACACGTACACACACACATATATATTTCAAAAAATGTTTTCTGTACACATTCTATATCTATTAGCCCTAGAATTTTGCAGTCATTTTTCCCAATCCTACACCGGTAAAGTGACACATTGATTTTGCAATATCACTATATTTTTACTGACAAATGCAAGGGTTAAAGCTACCTTTAAACCAATGATCAATCGACACTAATGCTTCCATGAAACCCAGTGGCTATCAGCTCAAATAGCCAATAATTAAACCACCAGTCACATTTCCAGCCTGTTTGGTCTGTTCTTGGCTGAGATGCTGGGCAGTTTGGGAAGGCAAGAAGGCTGAAGGAATAAAAACATTTTGTTTTAAAAAAGTAGACTGTTGTGATGCATCAGCTTTAATGTGTGGAAATATCTATAGGTTGTCACATTTTATTTTGCAATGCATTTCTTGAAATCTGAACTAAATTTGTGAGTTATTTCTCCTGTTCTCCACTTTACTCACTTTGTGGCATAATTTTGTTGAAGAAACAGTATCCAAATCCAGTGGAAACCACAAAACCTTTCCTATTGTTACAATCATTTACAAATTTAGGTTTTAACCTATTCTTACATGCAGATCGTAAGTTGACAAAGATCCACGGCAGAATTCGTACACCAGGCCATTTAGTGAAAGGGACAAATGCAACCAACAGGACCTATTTTTTTACTATTAGGCAGTATTGATGCAAACATTTTTGGGGAGCAATCCATTTCAAATGTGGCTATTTATTTGGAGCATAAATAGCCATAGTCCTGATCACTGCCAGGAATCCTTGCTGTTCAGGAAAGATCGTGGTTGTGTGCTGCTTCCACCTTGTGGCTGAATAGCCTGCTGGCAATCATTCTCAAAGCTCACAGGTAAATAATGTCACTTGAGCAAAGTACCAAATGAAACCAGTGACCTGGACTTCAGCAGGACAGTAGGAGGGGAGAACTTTAGTCAAACAGTTTATATTCAAGTTAAGAGCTACCAATGAATATTTGCAAAAGGGGGTCAGAATTGTAAAACTAATTGTTGAAAATAGTACAGAAATGTATTACAAAAATAAATAGAATTGGGCAGTCTACAGTTCTGCTGTGTGATGTTTCTTTTTACTATTTTTTGCTTGAAATAGGTTATTATGCATGAACTAATTCTGCAGAAAACTAATCACAATGGTATTGTAGTACAGCCCACCACCCTCTTACCTGGAAACAATGGAAAGAGTGGTTATTTGGTAAAGCTCATAAAATAGGACGCCATAAACAAGTGTTATTCCCAACAGCATTGTTGTGAAGGAACACGTGTGAGGAGCCTACAGCATTTATTGTCAAGTAAACATTCTGCGAATTTATAGCAGACTAATTGTAGACAAATGCCCCTTGCCATTCTCAAACTAAACTCTAGTACAAGTAGCACCATCACAGCAAAGACCTCTCTCGAAATAAATACAATTAAATTGTGAAAATTGAACAAATTCACTCTGCAAGTTTGTTTTCTATTGCAACAGAGGAAAATCTGGTAGCAAGCACCACAGATCAGGTAATGTTGGTTCTTTTTCAATCCAATTCCTAAACGGTTAAATTGTCTTTAACATATATTCACAGGTTATGCTTTTCTGTTGGGAGTTTTGAGAAAAAGATTGGTAATTCCTTTCAGCGATGCCTTGCAAACATTCGTTTTCTATCTCGTCAGTTTGCTTGATTTGCATCAGTAATTAATTAGAATTGAGCATTCTGACTTGTCCCTCAAAATCTATCATTCAGCAAGATAACGTGCAAATGACCAACAGATTAACCAAATGCATCCTTTCCAAAACTCCTAAATCAGGACCTCTATCCCCTACAGAACACTGAACCTCTTTTCCCCCAGAAGTAAAAAAGGAGTGTACAACTGTATAAAGTCCCAAATGCTCCTACCGCCTTTTATATTTCTATAGACTGTAATTTCGTTCCAGATGTACCAAACACGATCTGTGAGCCCAAGAAAAAGACTTAAAGAAAAGTGTTTGCCCATCACCCCTCTCCCCCTGCATCTGATTTCTTTCAACTTAGTTGTGGAAATTGGAAATACTGGCCTTTTTCGTAACTGTATTGTGCAAATGCAAACATAGATACAAAATAAAACTGATCTGACTGTTAACTTGAGGTACTGCAGTTATAATTCACATTTGAGTACTTAGGAGCCCAAGGGTAACTAAGTTAGTTTTCTGCTTTAAAGTGCCATGAGGCCAGACAAACGTTCAAGTTTTCCCATCACCAATGTAGCTTCTGTAAATGGATTACACTAAAATAATGATTGGTTACAATCAGGAATTATACTCCCTTGCATTCCCTTTAACCCTGCAAGGCCACACTTGTGAGGAAACTTGCTAATATTAAATGTGTTATGGTGTAGTCAAAAAAGTTCAAACATCTCATTAATCCTGTAATTCTTGAAAAAGGTATGTTCTTTGTTAAGACAAAATGGATTTGTTATACTTAACACATTTTATGTTAATCTTAAACATCTTTGATCTGTCAGGCGAAGGGAAGAGAATCCATATAATTACAGGGTTTACAAAACACAATAGATCCATTTAGAAGGGCAAGACAACTTCCCTAGTTGAAAGGCACAGATTGTATGTAGTGGTTTGCAAGACCCCCTTGCCCCAAGAAAATAGTCCAAAGGAACACAATTCTGTGGCCTATATAAGCAAAACCATGGTTTTAAAACTATGGTGCTGCTAAATAAAATGTTTAGTATGTGCAACTAACCTTTTCTGTAAACAGTGTGTCATTTCACTTCTGTACAGCACATGCAACATTACATTTGACGAGGGAAGCTCAAGAAGAAAGCTAGACCTTTGACCAGCCTGAACCATAGATTAGCAGACAAGGATGTTGCAGTGAGTATCAGAAAGGAAGACTATGTAGACTTCACATGTGCTTTCAAGATTTGTGATACAATACAATAAAACGCCCTGTAACTCCACAGAATCGCTTTTGAATCAGACCACTCCAAATTCACAATACTCAAAAGAAAAGTCTTGTCAAGAAATGTTTTGAGTCTGGGTTTTTGAGGAACTGATAATATTTCTTAAAAACTTAACAGCAAGTTTACATCTACCACTGGATGGCCATTTTATTTCAACCAACATAGTAACATAGTAACTTTAGTAGCTTTCAAATTTGGGATCACAGACCAATTTCTGCAGCCAGAAAAATAAGAAACTTTATGCGATTCAATAGCCCAATCAAACAATGCATTGTTTATCCAACTTAAAATTCGGTTAAGGGTTTACCAATCTTGTTTCAGTTGATCTATTCTGATTAATGCAAGAGGAAGAACACATATTTAAAATATATGAACTTTAGAATAGCACAGTATCTTAGTTTCCTGTACCAACTGCAGCCATAGATGGTTTCGCAATCTGAGATTATTAAAACCCTTCTACCAACTCTGTGCACGATTATGATGGTAAATGCTCTGCAAACTCTTTCCACACAGCTGATGTGAGCATTACCTGATACTGCACCATTTCCATAATGCTTTAACAAGTAGACCTGAAGTTTAGATCCAGGGAAATAAATCAATACATGGCAGCTTGATTTTAAATTGTAAAATGTGAACTCTGGATCTGTAAAGAGACGCTGTACAATTCTCATTTCTTCTGAATTTGCACAACACTCCTTTAGAATGGTCTCACTGAATTCAAAGTTAATATTTTGGACAACAATCAGACATTCAGTTTACTCCAGAATTATATTAGAAAAACTGTGACTATAAAAATCTTGTGTTTTTAAAACCACATTTGAATTAAAAACAAAGACCACAATGTTTTCAGAGAAGATTAGTCTAAAAAAAGGGCACTAGTGTATAGATTTAACTTTTCCATGATTATGATCCTTGCATTTCAAAACCAAACAGTGGTCGAATGAAAACAAACGTGTTAGAGGTCCACATTTCAGGCAGCTTTAAAATGTCTGGAAACAAATATCTACTATAACCACATAAATCAGTCGTCATCAACCTGGCTTGATTTAGGACTCGGGTCAATTCTTGAAACGCTTTGGATATTGTCCAACAAAAGGGAGATCAGATCGTTTCTTTAAAGAGGAAAAGTACAAGATCACTGGAGGAAATGATGGTTCCTTCCCCCCACTACCACCAACCCCATCAGCTTCAGAAATGTGTCTATTTAAAGATCATAATGATAGGAAAAAAACATTTTGAATATAATCTCTTTCAAAATACACATGTATTTATACCAGAAACAAAGGAAACAGGACAAAACTTGCAGCATTTGTAAAAGGTGCAGCCATTCGTTCAGAACATTCCTACAAGTGTTCCAGGGTGCAAAGATTTTAGAATTTAAGATCAGGTTAAATGCCTAATTCACTGGTACCAGCATCAATCACCCCACTGGCTAAGTCAAGTTTACAGACATAACCAATTTCAGACTTGCTTTTACAGTAACTCAACAAAGCTGCCGATGTTCAACCCCCTCTTTTGTACCTTAACATAAAATCAGGCTGTCAGGTGTAAAGGCAGATCATCTTCACAAACAATGCACACACTTGGCTAGAAAACAGTACCAATTAGATTTTTCTTACTTTAACTCCTCTGAGGATAACATCTCTTTATTCATCCTTTGAGTATTGAAAGATACTTTCAGCCTTCAATATAAATAGCTCTTTACTTTCATACAAGATCCGCAAAACTGATATTCTGATGAGGATTATGATGAAATGGAATTTCAAGAATACACAGAACTTGACAATTTCTTAGTTTAAAATGTCTTTGAATAATCTAACATTTTTAATGCAATACATTTTTGATTTTAGAGCCAAAAAGCTGCTGTAGTCCTCAAAGGATTCCTCTCCTTAGAGAAAAAATGTTTAGTACTTTTTTAAATAGTTGTGATTTTTTTTTTAAAACAGTTTGTTAGCACATTGATGAGAAATATAATTCTTTTAACAAAATAGATTAAAAATTATAATTTGACTTGGTTAAAACACTCTAGCAAGCATATTGACTGCTTGTGCTAAAAAAGGGATACTGTAGCTATAAACAGAGCTAATTTTTCTTCAGCACCCAGTAATTTCTAAATGACAGTTTCCACTTTTGTGAGAATGAAAAAGTCTTTATGGGACCACTTATTTAAGGGGAGGGGATAGAATACAGGAAACAGGAGAGGAGAAAATGTGCAAGGATCGGTCAACTTTCACTGTGCAAAGTAAGTCTTTGAAATAAAGTTTTAAGCACGCAACTTAAAATATATAATACAACTAAAACAGGTCCATTTGTTCTGTCTTACAGACGCAGTATCTGCTCAGGACTGCGAGCTTCCTGGTCTGCTGCAGCTTCTCCTTTCAATCCCAATCTTCTTCCTGCTTTTGACTCCATCATTGTTGCATCACTTGCGAGTCACCAAACCCATGGTATGCCAGCATATCGTGAGAGTTCTGCTTGGTCACACAGTTTGCTGCTCAACAAGAAAGCAAAAGGGCTTTCCCTCTGTAGTGTTCTTCTCAACAGTTTGAAAGCAAAAATCCATTTCCTTCACTCCACTGCAAACCCACAAGTCTCCTCAACTGCTGTTAATAGCTTCTCATAAAGCTTCTCATAGGACTCATAAGGAGGAATGTCTATACGGTTAAAGCTGAAACAAAAAAGGGAATAATTAAGCAAACTAAGCCCATGCAAAAAAAAGTTATTGACTATATCTACAGGTATATACAACAGGATCTGACCTATGTGACACTCCTGTAGGGATGACTTGCTGTGCATAGCATGCAGGTACAGAAGGCCTCCTGGCATCCAGTGATACCCAAGAAACTACTGAAAATATTTCAAGAGTGGTTGTCAACTCCTTGCACAGTTTTCTGTATAAAGTGCGGCTTTAGGCATTTGATTTTCAGCATTTCTGTAAGGGAGAAACTCACCAGGTATGTGCTTTGGGAAGGTTGTCTGTGTTGGCATCAATCAGGTGAATGGTGAAAAGTCTTGGGCCTGCAGCACCTGTAGAACCTTGCAAATACACAATCTAGTTAAACCCACACAACACAACAGTCACTGTCAAAACTACAAACAGAACATTCTAGTTTTTATAATGAGCACGGAAATAAACCACAGGAAGCCATCTCAGGACAATGTACATTTGGAATCATAAATGTGGAATCAGTCAATTGAGCAATATTAATTTTTACTTCATGTAAATCTGATTTTTAAAGTTCAACAATGAACACCAGAAAACCCCACATAATCAAAGCAAATGGGAATAAAAACTGAAAAGATGAATTCAGTTACCAGCATTTTACCACTAAAGATTTGTAGAGACCATTTGTATAGCTCGATGGGCACCTCTAGTGGCAGGTTCCCAGGACTTGACTGAAAAACTTTTAATAATGTAATGTAGTCAAATCCATGTTTATATTATCCAGTCCATGCCCAGATAAATGCACATGTATATCTTAATTGTTGTTCTTTATAACTGTATTAGTCCAGTTCAGTAGTCTAGTTTAGATGCAGTTTATAGCCACCTTGTAATGCCTTGAATCCCTGTAGAGGTACCCGGGAAGAACCGGTCACAAACTGAAGAAGTCGTGCTCTCCTCTCCTCATCGAACGACTCCACTGCTTGCCAGAACCACTTCACAATATTGGTGTCAGACACACAATGCTTCAGCCGTGTGTTAGCTTTCCAGTCATTTATGTCAATCTTCCCCAAACCGCCAATAATCAGCTGGAGAAGGAAAATGTAGATGCATAAGTTTGGTAAGCAGAAGCTCTGGTGTCCCCAGTACATCCTTCACACAATGACTACAGTCTGCTCCACTTGAGTGTATAGTGACATTATCACATTACATTCAGATTTAACTTTTAAAACTAGGTGTCGAGAAATATTAAGTGCCTCTTCCATGTCTTAATGACAGAAGAATATAAGCAATTCTGCTGAAGTACTCAATGGCAAACTGTCGATGATACTACACTATATTGGGCTAAAGCAATCATTTATATTCTGAACTGGACAAGATGACAAAGGACCATTAAGAAACTGATTGTTTCAAATTCATGGCAGTTTAAACAAGTGCCAGAGCAATGTTTAAAACAAATCATATAATAGCTATTTTACTGCATGCAATTTTATCTTGTGAAATCTAAAGTGATTTTTTTAAAGCTTTTAGCCAAACAAATGGTAAAATTTGCTTCAGAAAGTGATGAATAAATGATTATTTTCAAAATAATTGTAATTGTAAATGTTATGACTATTGCAAAAAGACACACCAATATAAAAGGAAGGAGAAAACCTGTATTTGTGGATTAAAGATGCCTACATTAAAAGTTAGCCATCATTGCTGTCAACGTGAACTGACACCACCAATCTTGAAAAAATTCAACTTCTATCAACTTTGCTTAAACAGGTTTAAGTTATTTAAAATAACAAAAAAAACAAGGGAGATAATCTTTCAAACTTTTGAAAAATAAGAGCAGCAACACTTTCAAATGACAGCCACACTGATATCTGCACTCTTCAGTATCAGATAAAGGGACAAGGTACACACAAGTGTCACAAGGGAAAAAGGAGTCAAGTCAGTTCCAAGTTTAAACAGGGTTTCTATCTACAGGAAGAAAAATACCAATGTGTACAAAAGTGTTTGGGATCTGAAATGGAACAAACTGGGGCCGTGTATAAAAAAGTGCCATCAGTAATAATCTAATAATGATTGATTTTAATCCACATTTAAAGTTGATGAACGAGACCACACAAGCAGTTTAACCTCCTCAAGTGATGTGTTGGATAATAAACCCAACAGCAATCCATTTATTCGGTTAAATTTACGTGGGAACATAACTTCTGCACAAAATTAGTGTCCTTGAGGGAGAGGGTTTATTTAAATTCCAATCAAATTAGAATAATTGAACCGTTATCAACATTTATTCCTACTGCTATGATTAATAAAAAAAACAGTATGTTTCATGGTTAGTTCTTAGGAATTGTAATCAAATAACTTCACTGTTAGCTGTCAAAAACATTTCAAAACTACAAACCACCACAATAACAATGTTTTATTTAAATCACTTTTGCCTTTTCACAAAAAAGTGAGTGGTTAGGAAATACTAAAGGTTCTACCTTCCACTATCTAAATCCATGTTTAGTCTTAAGTGTGAACATGTCTGTTACCTCAATCTCCTTCTGATCAAAGGGTTTAAGTAGATGTTGTGGAATAAGCTCATTAAAACCCTTTTGCAGAGCCAGAAACTGAGCCTCAATTCCTCTCATAAACCGCCAGTTCACATACAGCCTGAACACAAAACAATGCAAGATGGATTAATGAAATCACCTACATAATCTCAATAATTTGCAATAAATTAATCAATTATATAGCTGTAAATAGGTCTGGATGGGGGGGGGGTATAAATGGACCGCTATGAAAAATGCCAAATTAGGTACAACATAATGTGCAGTAGATTAAAATTTATGGGAACTGCACATTGCATTCTAAATAGAACATGTATATTTGAATATGGTGCCCTTTCAACAACATCCCAAGTGAAGCAAGACATGATAATCTCAAAAGCAGCGCAAGTTTTGTCACAATTGATTTTCTTTATAAAGCATAAAATACTGTATTTACATAGGAGAGTTTTTTATCCCGCCCAGAGGCCAACACTATAATAATTCCCCCATCTCCTGGATCTGTGATGTGGTTTTTAATTAAAACGGATAACAAGTGCTCTACCAACCAACTGTGTACATGATTTCAGAGGTAATAACAATACTTTCCCAAAATGTATTATAAGCTGCTTATTGAGAACAAAGTCTAAGGGAGTATATTGCTCTTTCAGATAATGAACATACATTCCCCCTAATTTAAAATCATTGGCACTCCATTATCCTTTATTTGTAAGGCAGTCAACTGCTGTGTGCAATTGGCTGCTGAGTTTCGCCCACCAAAATATACGGTCAATTCATTCAACAGTACATTCTGTGAAGCACTTTGACGACATGATAAGGCGCTATATCAAATGTAAGGATTATTATTGTAACAAAAGGAAAAAACTGCATCAGTACAAAGATGTATATTATTTGTAATTGATTCAATTACTCACATCTATTACAATTGCTAATCAGTTTGATCCAATTGGCATTTCACATTTCATGATTTTACCATATAGATTACTTTAAAAAATACTGAAAGCAACAGAAATACAAGATCCTTACCTGACATACTCTCGCTTATTCTCCTCTGTTACAGGTACATTTCTGCCATTTGGTTTCAGCTCTTGTTGAATAATCCGACCAAAACAGTTATGCTCAACACAAAAAGTATGGTCCAGTACAGGTGTGATGTCGTTTTCACTAGAATGGATAGAGGAAACATAAGCAATGGAGTTCATAACAGTTTCTTCATTAATTACAACAGAACAATATACATTCTTTTGAAACAATAAATCAAAATTTTCAAAATTACATTGAATTTATTGCACAGTCAAGAAAAAGACATAATGACTGCTTTCAATGTATGCAAAACAAATGGTTTAAATTTATTGCAAGTTAAGTTTGCAATATGTCATCATAAAACTTGAAAATAAGCTCAAATTGATTCACATGTTTACATAATTATATGCTAAACCCTCCCAAGATTCACCTAAAAGATTTACACGGTTGGTTCAAACAGGCCATAGGTGGAGGTTGGCATTAGATTTCTAGCTTGCTCTGCTTCAGAATCAAGGAAATGAGAAAGTTTGGGAAAAGAGGCTAATTTCACATTGATGCAACACCAGTAAATTACTCACAGGATCCAAATCAGGCTCTTGTGCAATTCTGGGTCCACAGATTCCAAGTCTGATAGCTGGATAGGTTTACCCAACAGCTGTTTGTAAAATGGTAGTGTGAAGCCCCCATTAATGTAATGTCCGTGGAACACAGCCAATCCCATTATCCGACCCACAAAATGAAAGTAAGATAAGTGTTCCTGTAAAAGAAAATTTGCTTGTTTGACAAAAATTGTTAAATGCTGCCATCCTGTGACTTACAAGACAAAACATAGCTCCAGAGATGTGGACAATATTAGGCCTACACTACATGTGGGCATACATACACATATAAGAGGGATATATTCTATTTAGTACAACGTTTGCATACATTCATACCTTGTTAATTAATCATTTTATTTAGTCTTCATGAATTATGTACAATGTCAAGGCATGCAATATCAGAACTAAACATTAAATTAATCTGGTACAACAAACCAAGTGAAATTGCAGACTACAAAAGACTCATTTAAAAATGAGCAACTGCCTGTAAATTATTCAAAGTAGCCATGCACCAACAGTAGAAAGAATGATTTAAATCTGTAGGTCTGAACATAGAGGAATAAATGAACTTCACAAGCAGGATTGTTCAATATGAAAGTAGCTGCTTTGCTGTACTTGCCCAAGGGAACAGTTGAGAGCACTAACATATTAAAGCAGAGAATGAGAAAATGCTATTTGGCCAATCAAGCCCATAAATGTTCTCAGACTACAAAAACAGTCTTTAGCTTTCACTGCGACCCCAAATACTCACAGGGTTAATCGCGGAATCTGGATTGATCTGCAGTGTGTAGATATTATCTGTTGAATACTGAAATAGTCCATAATAAGGATTCAACATTTCATGACACAGCAAATATAACCACTCCCTGCAAAACAAATAAACATATATAAATCAACAAATCAATAAGTAGTCAGCAATCTGGTATGAATTTGTGACTTTGAAATGCGGTCAACAAATAAGAAATAGAATAATTTATTTCTAAACTTTAATAAAAAAGGTGGAAAGAATTTAAAACTCAATTTTCTGAATTCTGCAGTTCTGTGTACTTGGCCACTGAAGGAGATTGAGTATTTTTCCACAATAATATTAAAGTTTGTTTCAAAAGAAAAATTGAGATTTACTAAATTTAATTTGTCTTGGATTTAAATTGCATAGTTGGATATAAATATTCACATTGAAAATATTCCATTAACTATTTGCTAGCAGCTTGAAAGCACTGGAAATGGTGGATTGAACTTCCATTCATAGGGTCATAATCAAGTATCTCTGCCGTCATTTATAGCCCACAACTTGTGAGATAGAACACTACCTGGCAGTGGAAAAAAGGTCAGGTACATTTCAATCACACAAAAATATACAGTATAATAATTCTAATGCTTGCATCTGACAGCACTTTGTCACATCGTCAAGACACTGCAAAGTGCTTCACATGATATACTATAAAATGGTGTGACTCTGTTTTCTATGGATGAAATCCCATCATGGCATTCAGTAGTTTAAAGTAGTCTAACAATGTACAGAAGTCTCACCTGGCTACTCCACCATAATCCAAACCTTCTTCACCTCTAAACTTAACCATCAATCGCTTCTTCAAGTCTTTTGGTCTCATTTTCATTACTTGTCGGTATGATTCCTGAACAAAATACAAAATGCGGGTTAGATTTCTGCAAATAGCCTATAGTAATTTTACAAACATTTTGCTTTTTTTTCTGCGTATTTGATGAAATGCTTCAATTATTAGCACAAACCAAGTTTTGCTCAACTCTGCTCTCTCATCGCTCACACACTTCAATGTTACCTCAAAGATTTCATCTCTGGAGACCTCAATACGACAATGCCCTGCTTGTGGCTGTTGCAATGCAAGCTCATGCCGCAAGACTTTCAGTTTCTGTACAAGATCTCGCTCGCACCGTGGCACAGACCACTCTCCCTCATTCTCGTCCACAGGTACGTCTGCTTGCACTTGCAGTGGCTGGTTTGATTCCTTTAATTGAGTTGGATTGCTGTAAGACATTGTTAATATTAGGTTATAAATTAGAGTACTTTTAAGTCTACTACTAGTGAGTAATTCCATAATATTCTATTTATGAATCAAGCAAAATTTAAAATGGCCATTACTTTGTTTCATGATTAGCCCTAATCGTGCATCTCAAACATTTGGGTACTAATTAGAGACAGAATCTTTCAGGTTAATCAGGGTAGATTTGACTATGCCTTGGCCTGGAACATTAATCTAGTTGACTTTTCCACTGTATAATATCTGGTTCAAGTGCCTTGCACACATCGGTTTGAATTGACCACCAAAACAAGACACTGGAGTTAACATTAGGTAAACAGGCAACAGCAACAAATTATATTTGTATAGCGTCTTTCATACCAGGAGGATGTCCCAACAAGAAAATGGTCTTGTTAACCGACACAGAAACCAAAAGTACTATGGAAGGAAGGCCAACCCAGTAGAGTCCAAAGCATAAAAAAAGTTTCATTGATCTCAGAAGCATGGCGAGAAGGGTTACCACAAATACTTGGGCATGGGAGAAAATAATGTACAGGAATAATTCAAGAAATTACGTCCATGGTTGAATCTATAGGTAAATCCTGAATAAAGTTGCCTTCTCAATAACTAAGTTATCCTTCATTAAGCTTACTTCATTATATGGTGCAGTCTAGGGTCTGTAAACTGTGTTGTTCGATTGTTGTGATCCACAAAATATATTCTTCCCGACACCGTGCTGCGAATTTCCCACCCGGGAGGCAAAGGACCCAGCTCCTCATAGTTAAAATTTGTAAGATCTCTGCGCAAACAATTCACAGTAAATAAAATTAGAACACAGAAATAAACCTATGCAGCAAAAACTTATTGTGAACGTTGCTCAAGTCCATTAATTTACCTTGGAATTCGAGGATCATGCCAGGTGCTGACCCCAGTCTGTGTGTGCAGAAAATAAATTTGCCCCTGTACAGTCGTTCGCTGCTCTGAAAACAAACAGCAAATTATTTAGAGGTACTCACTTATTTCTGCTGTGGTAATAGAATATGGTACATGAAGAAAACATGTTCGGGTCGAGTACAAGACATGGAAATGCAAGGACACAATCCCACCTATACCCATATGTAAGCTGCAATATCAGAAATTTATAAATGCAAGTTGTTGTTGGAGTATGGGTCAAGTTAGACTGAAGCATTTGATGTAGAAACCACAACAATCATTTCAAGCATACTTATTTATATTAGACAACTATTTTCTGAAATGGTTCTCCAAAGCAAACTCCTCTGCTCCTCCCCAGCAACTGCATGTGCACTGTTGATATTGAAGTCCTATTTCTACAGCAACCAAGTCGATCTTAAAACTGCTTGTGTAGTTGTTTTGCAGTTGGTTATGTTAATTGTCTCCCCTATGGTTAACGATGCCAGTGAGATCCTTCACACCAGGTAACTATTTTCCTTCAAGGGAGTCTCAAGGACATTTTATTTTGTGAAAAAACTGTTATGCAAATAATTTATTGCTGGTTTACTGTACTTGCAGGACTTTTTGTTATCAGCGTTTGATAATCATCTACTTACAAATCTATTTACAACAATTTGCATTGATGCAGGAGTAATGAGGAGCATAAAAAAAACAAAGGCAATCTTGTCTGTAAAAATCCAGAAATTATATAAATCGACCAACTAGATTAGAATTCTGTACATTTTGCTGTATGAATATAAAGTTAGCATACCATCTTATTTCTGTGTAATTATACATTAGCGATTGGCAAGACAGAGAGCAGTTACGAAGGCTCATTCTTGGATCTCACCATATCCCTCCGGCAGCACTGGTGACTGATGACCCTGAGGCCGGCTCTGTGGTTGGTGCATGTGAACTCTGACGCCGTAATTTCGGATTCGCTGCGACTGCAATCTCTGTTCATGATTTGGAGATTCTATTAATTGGCAGTTTCCTCCCCCAGCAGCACCCGTTATATCTGTAAACGGTACGGTGTCCTCCATAAAACAGCTAACTGGCCTTCCAGGTCCCGTATCCTCAAACAGTGGCCTAATATAAAATTATATAACGTTTTATATCCAGAGAGAGAAACATTTTTTTCACATATCCACCCTCCCACCCCCCCAAAATAGTGCATTGGTTTAAATTTTTTTCTTGGGAAGTTCTTACTCAAATATATACAGGCAAGTAATCAGTAGAACAAAAAATACAGGAAAATATGAAACCAATGGGAGCAATACATTTTTTATTCAGCAATTAACAGTCCACTTCATGTCCACTATAAAAAGGAATCAAAACAAAATAGTCTCCACTCACCCCTCAGGTAGGTCATTGTCCAGTAGTCCTCTGCAGTCAACAACAGGACCACCAGTTCCTATTCGGTCTCGAGTTTGTAAACTTACTGGGGGAAAAAAAAGTTCTCCACTATAGTTGGCATTACAAAACTATAGAATTCTAATCTTTGCTTAGACTATGCGACGGAAGGCTTGTAAGGATCTAGAAGCCAGTAAAACAAATTCAGTATCAAAATGGTTAAAGCTGTGTAAAGCTGTCCATTCTCTACTTCTAAAACTGCTTTTGTATAAAATACATTTTTTTTAAATTAAGAACTATAATGAAGTACTTCAATTTAAAGTTAGGTCGAAGAATTTCAGCTTACTACATGTTAAGAACCAGGTGAAGAATACAGTAACTTTTTATGTTACAAAGTAAGTTCAACATGGTAAAAAAAGTTTACATTTGGTAACTGTGTGAATGTAAATTATCACATCAGTAGAAAAACAGTTAAAAGCATGGCTCCTTACGAGGCATGGCAATAATACGCTTTTGGTTGGTGAGGATGACACGAACAAGGATGATAATCAGCTTTTCTCTTCTCTTGAGCATCCTACAACTACCACTTGGAAACTGTCTGTTAGTGCTGAGGATGAGGCAATCTCTTTCAGTTCATGTGACACACCTACATGTAACAGACTTTCCAATGGTCAAGAATAACATTCAGGGAAAGTGTGTGGGTTGCTCTTGCTGGCAGCCCTGCAAATGCAATCCTTTTGAGAATAGCCATTATGCACTTACATTTGTAAAGCTATTTATCCAAATTCTACCACTTCTCCCTCCCAGCCTCTTCTGTATTTGCTTTTTTCTCTTTCCGGCCTCTTTAAATCATGTGTTTATTTAAATTTATTTCCACTGTCTGAGTCGTGAACCAACCATAGAACTCAGGTTCTACTGCATGTGAAATGTTGCACACATTCTTCATAAATCTAAATTTCCATATCCTTACTCCTTGGCTCGTTCTAAAGTACATTTACATAAAATGGGAAAAATTGACATTATTCATCTTTACAGAATAATTATATTTATGCATAAGTTCAATTTTACTTTGCAATAAAGTACACTAAGTACGTAGAATAATGTGTGAAATTAAAGATCTTACCTACTATTTGTCCTCGTATTGTATCACTGTCAGTGGGATTCAGTTTGCATAGATCTAACCGCTGGTCTGACAAAAGAAATGTAAAATAAGTCACCTGAAGTGTCTAAATACAACATATTATTAGGGTGAACTTTATACTAATTACAATGATATACATTACACAACTGTCTTTAATCCCTTTATACTGCAAGACCTCTTTGGCATTATTTCTAGAATAGAGTCAGCAGGAAATCTTGACTTATCCTTCCTTACCTGTTCTGAATCACGAACGTGGATGGCTAATTCATAATATTAAAAATTTTACAATAGTGCAATGATCACCCAAGATTTAAAAACCAAATGGCTAGTTTTTTAATTTCTGTTCCTCCACTACCAAGAATTATTGAACTCAGCAGACAGTCTAAAACAGATGAAACGTATCCAATGCAATTCGGAGTATAACAAAGCTTTATAACAAACTCAGAAACACCAATTGAGAAGTTTTACATTTAACAAAGCTTTACTTTCCCAAGTTAAATACAATATTATTATTATTATTATTATAATACGTACAGCCAGTGTCCTTTAGCCTACTGATGGCATTTGATAGCAGCCGAACACAGCCCAGGAAGCCAGCTCCCTGTTTTTTATGGATTTTCTTGTGATTCCATATACTTATAGTAATTGAATCTGACTTTCCAATGTATCTGAAAAAGATTATTCAAAGAAAATCAGGAGAAAAAAAACTTTGAAATTTAAAAGCTTCAGTCCATAATTTTCAGTCAAAAACTAAACTACACTCATACACACTAAATTTACTTCACTTGCTAAACTTCCCAGGATGTATTTAATTTATTTTGATGCTATTTTTGACGATGAAATACACTGCCCATAAAAATCAACTGATTTACACTGTGCTTTGTTATTTTGGAATCTGATCACAAAATCTCAACTGAAACTCAACTATCATCAATTTCAAAAGTGTGATTGTCAGGAGTGTACCTGAAGCTGAACAAAATGTCACCTGATTTGCTTTAAGCACAATTAAACTCCAGAGAAAAACAATGCACTCCAAATACAAAATCCTAGTGAAGGTTTAATTGCACTCACAGATCATAGTGTTGGTTCCATTTTGGATCAAGTGTATTTTTCACAGTGTCTGTTGAGTGACACTGTCCTGAACCATCTACAATAATTTTGGCGAAAGGGTCAGGTAATCCTGTGCAAGACAAAAGATTATAGTTACATATTTTCATGCTTCAACTCAAGAGGCAGCTTGAGTGGTCAACATCCTAAGTGGCTTTGTATTTATACTCTAATATAAACACACTACATTTCTTTAGCAGCGGCATATAATTCAGAAACAGAATTAAACAAAACATAGATTAATACTTACTGAAGAAATCTTTCTTAGCCAGATTTTTTGCGCACAAAACTGCAAGAGAAAAATATGAAATTTAATTTAGCAATTTCTTTCCTTCCAATTACTCTCCTCACTGGAAGATCTGATTCACACTCGGGTATGGCTCCATAGAAAGCCCACTGGTAACATTCAAGTATTAGCAGTCTATATACTTGAAATTTTAAGACAGCAAGTGTTTAACATTTGAAAGAAATTCCACCCATCACTTAACAGATCTCTTTAAATGCAAAATTTAATGAAAAGAATGCATTCTAACAATTTCTGTCTGCACAATGAAATCAATTTAAAAACAGTTCTGCAAAACCACTAGATGTCACTAAACAGCTATATTTACAGTGTACTTATCAAAATTCAGAGAATTGCTAAGTCAATAACTAAATTGTTACAAAGAAAATTAGTATAAGAATAGTAAAGAGAGCCCAGAAAACATCCAAGTATTAAAAGCTAAGCCCCTACCAATTTTTCTCCTCTGCAAAGAATTTGGATTCCTTTTCACCCTACCTACCTATTAAATAATAACTACAAATATGCCTTTTATTTTAAAAAAAAGCTCCCAGAGGGTGATTGTAACTCATTAATATCAGAATTAATTTCGTTGCTGCGATGAGACATAGGTTCTTATAAGTAGATGAAGGAATCCACAGGAATCGATGAGCATGAAAAAAGTTTTGAAGCTGCTTAAAACACTGGATGATGTCAAAACGTTTGGATGTTATTGGGATGACAAGAGACATGGGACTGGTCTATGACAAATGATCCCAACTATCACATCAATATTTAAAAGTCACGCAAAAAGTGATTTAATTGATGAATAAATTACCAAGACATAGTTTATCCCATTTCTAGGAATCCTTAAGTCACAAGGGAGCAGAAATATGTGTGTTCACAGAATAACCACATACTACTTTTAAAAACAAAAAATGTTCGCCTGATTCCTGAGTTTATGAAACGTAAAAAAGACAATTTTATATGTCTCCAAGGAATATTCTCCAGTGCATTGGCTGTATTATTACATGGGAAAATATGTAAATCCAACTTCTACTGTCACCTTTGTGGAGATGTATATTTTTCTACGATTCTAGAACAGCTGCAGACAGTCATTAACAGACATTTCACAAATTCCTTTCAGTGTTTCCATCTATTGTAATACTTCTTTGGAAAAACATGTACAACAGCTTCACTGTTAAAAGAGTACCTTGAAGGTATTGTTTGGAAGACAGAAGGAGCATCATCCTAACTGTTCACTTGTATTGGTATTTGTGGGTTGGGGTGAACACTAACTTTTGCAAGGACCCTATCCTTCAGGTCTGGCCTGAGAAGTGACGTACGGACACTCGACAAAAAGGCCACCCCCGCCCCCCTCCAAAAAAAATTGACGTTGAAGTATTCTGATAGAGCGTCCTTGCAATTATTTCAACATATCCAAATGCATTCCAATATTAATTACAACATTACTGTACTACCAAATATTAATCCCTTTTGAATGAGCAGGTAGTACTAAAACATTAGTATAAAGTAAAGCTTTTATACAACTCTAGAAATACTCCATACAACTCCACTTTGAATCAAGGTTAAATCTACACAAGACAATAAGAGTTTCAGTATTCAATTTACATTTCTCTGGTGATCTGAGGAGTTACAAAAAACACAAAATTTACCTTTGAGCTACCCAGATTCCAATATTTATAATCAGAGAGCCAAATTCTGCAGAGCAACACAGCTCCACTTCTAGAATGGATAAACAATCTCACACAAAGCTCGATGAGAAACTGCTTCTTTGCCAAATAGAGAGCATCATCTCCTTGCTTCAACACAGCTGATTTTCTTTATACTAAAAAATAAACGGTAGAGAAAATATTTTTCTTTCAAGAGGGAATCTTGATTTGATTTTAAACAAAGTTTCCTTCAATGTGTGTTCAACTGGAACTATGGCAATTACTATACTCGGCAAACAACACGTTTTCCATGTGAATTGTCAATTCATCAGACATCAAGCTAACCCTCATCTAAATCTGCTTTAATATTAAAACAAACTATCTTCCTGAATAATAGGATTATTCTCGAGTCTCCAAGGTGGACCAACCCCAACTTCTCTACACGCTATGTTCAAATATTAGATTAGACAATTTGTTTGACAAAGAAAGAAAGGAGCAATACAGTAATCTTCTGTATAAGGAATACAGCATAACTGCTCTGTCACAACAAAATCCTAGACATCAAAATGCTATTTACAAATGTTGTAGGCCATAACAGATACTACATTATGCTCTTTATATGGACACATAGCAATTAAACTGCATTCATCAGAGGAAGACACAAGCACCAATGCTACACTGAGTCCCATCAATGGTGTATTGCTCAATTACACTAGGGTCTTTATGACAGTGACTCACAACGTAAACCCTTAAATAAAAGTTTAATACAATAAAGTTTTGTGTTCATTATCAATGAAAATATCTATATTAAAATGAGACTTTCATAGCCTCCTTACAAAAGAAACAAAACCTCTCATTATATAAGCACTGGTTGCACTAAATCACTTTGCAGCAATGGAAAAATGTTGATATGAAAAAGCCTTAGAAGTAATAATAATACTTGCATTTGATGTAGCGACTTGTCACGTCTTGGAGACGTCTCAAAATGCTTCACAAAATATACTGTAAATTGACTTGGCTATATTTTGTGGATGAAAAGTAACAGAATAATCACAGCTTAATAGCACTGAACCTTCAAGATCCCATCTGTAACTATGGGAAAATCGTTTCGTACCAACAAGGCTGCAACATACATGCTTAAGGACAAATTACATCAGTGCACTTAGTAAGCTGATGTAAAAAGACAACCTTCATCAAACCTTCCTGTAAACCACGTAACATTTACAATTCATATACACCAGGTTCCATTATTACTTTTCACAATCATTACTGAATTGTTTTCAATTGCTGTTAACAGTCCTCTGAGCAACAGAAGTCTGCATTTTTGCAATTTAAAATAATTAGCAAGTACAGTACTCTATAAAACAGGCTGTGGAGGAAGCTTTGGAGGAATTTAAGAGCTATAATTCAATCTCGGGCTTTATGTCAACACACTGATTAAATTACAGTCTGCAACTCAATCCAGAGTACACATACACATAGCACTCATGTTAAAGAAAGTTCTACATTCATAATATATTAGCAATTACATTCCTTAGCTGAATATTCTCTGGAATGTAAATGTGTCAAAACAGGATATAGAAAATATTTGCCTGGTATTTTTCCCTCCTTGCCATGATTCACTGTGACAGTTAGTTGGTAGCCACGCACTAGAACAGTGGTGGCCAACCCATGGCCCACGGGGCCATCAAGAAGTAGCCCATCGGACATTCGCACTAGTTTAGGTGAGTCTGTTTTAAATCAAAGTTTTGTTTTCAGTTTTTTCTTGCTTGAATATTTCTCAATTTATGACATAAATCAAGAAATATTCCACCAAGAAAATTTGTTTTGTAGGCCGACCAAAAAGTTTGGCCACCACTGCACTCGTTGAAACTAATTTCACTGCTATTTTTGCTGTGAAATATAATGAAAAACTACTCTTTTATATAAAAACAACTCATCATTTAATTGGAATGATCTTTTTCTGATAATGCTTTGAGAACCTTCAGTAAAGAGTGAGAAGAAGGCTCTGAAGTTTTTGTCTAACAGAATGGATGAAGAAGACGATNAAAAAAAGTTCACAGTGGCACATACAGGAATGAGCTGATTTGCCTCGTTCTGTGTTTATCATAGACCAAGTGTTGTGAAGAACTGCTGTTAACAGTTTGAAGCAATAATCCAAGGCATTCACTAAAAGATAGAACAGATGACTGATGTCCACAGTGCGGATGATGAGTCACAAGATACAAATCGTCTTATTTTTCATTTTTAAAGCAATGGTATATAGAACTGTATCATATTTTGAAGTTCAGCTGGCAATATATGACATTTTCTGTGATGCAGGAAAGAATAGCCTCACCAGCAAAGGCACCTCCGAATCACAATCCAAATACAAATGAACATTTCCAATTTAAAACCACTTGGCAAATCTAATTATACAAAGATTATGACTAGGCACTGCGACCTTTGATTGCAAGCGATACACATATGCTGCCATAGAAACAATAGTGAAGCTGCTAAAAAGAAAAATAATTTTAACCAAATCTGTTGAAATAATATTTTGGAACACAATTGTAACTTAAAATAATCAGCTAACTAAATAGTTAATCAATGTGTTATAACAACAAAAACGTAATTTTATCATGGGAAGGGGTGTGTATTTCAATTTAGAAGACATTCCATTAAGCCTACAGACATCTGGCAATCTCCAAAATACATTCTATCAGTATTATCATATGAAATTGTATTACAAAATGAATATTGGCAGGCACATCACCTTCAGGTTTCCACTGTACAGTAAATATTTTGCCCACAAATATACAGTCAATTCACTTTACAGTCTATTCTGTGAAGCACTTTAAGAGGTCTAGTAGACGTGGAAAGCGCTATATCAAGTGCAAGATTATTATTATATGGTACTTTAGCGCAATACAATTGTCCATCTTTATCACAAAGTTTAACGTTTTAACACCACTTACAGACAAACTAATACTGTTCCAATAAATGCAGTACAGGTACAGGTATGCTAAGATCAAAAAGGTAATTTATCCTGGCGCCAGCTGGACTACTTTGATCACAACGTCTAAGCAAGACAGATGACTGAAATAGGGTGAAAAAATTCTAGGAATTCATACCTACTGAGAAATGAATTACAACTTCCTGTACATTTTATTTATTGTAGAATTTCACAGAACCATTGATAAAGGAAGATATCCAGACAGATGTTTATTCTAGGACCCAAATCTTAGGTAATCAACGGTGCCTAGTCTTGTTCAGCTCATTCATTATTTAATGCATTTCAAGGACAGGTTTAAAATACTAGCCTTTATTAATATATAATAATTTAGTGTATCAACTTAATTGTTTGCAACGTATACC